AAATAAATAAATAAATAAATAAATATCTTTAAAAGTAATGGATTAATTTTTTGTTGAAAATGTCTTTTTTAAGATGGCAGGCAAGTGTAAATAAATACATTTACTATGAGTATAAAGTAATAAAGTAAGGCTATTATTACTTTCATATAGCAAAAAAGAGAATAAAAAAACACCGCTATAAAAACATTGTGCCAACGTTTAATTAGATTAAAATATTACTGAATTGAATATCGAATTAAAAACCATCCTACCAACATTTAAAAGAATTAGAATATTATTAAATTCAGAATACTTTAAAATACGTTATATAAAATATAATTAACATTAAAATATATGTGACAATAATTATCTCTGCAATTTTTGAAAATAGTGTATTAATTTTTTTAACAAAAATTGAAGTATACAATTATATAGAATAAAAGAAAAATATGTACTTACATTTTTTTGAAGTAATTTAACCTCTTGTTTATTGATAAGTACCACATAAAAAATCGGAATCATAATTAAATCGGATCTCTTTTAAGCAACTTCATCTAGTTATCCACAATATTCTCGGCACTTCATTGAAGAAGCAATTAGCTGAGGTTTCCTCCAAAAATTTAAAATAAATTTCCTCTGACGCTATTAACAATTTATAAATAAATCTATGATTAGGAAAGACAGGTTGGCCAAAATAAAGGACTCAAAGGGCAATTTTTTATTCCAATCCAATAATTCTGGTAATTACCAATAACAACATTCGTCTTCGAAACGGAGAATATCCATTTCCATTTGAAATCCGAGGAATTCGAAGAGATGAATAATAAAATTTTAAAATGCCGGGGGTAATGCACAAATATTCAGTAACCAATCAGGGAGCTGATTACATCATGCATAGAATTAAAATTATTTAAATAATCATTCATAATAAAATCATTTTTAAAACAAATGCAAAAATTAAATTTTATTTTAATATTTAACAGCCATAAATAAAGTTTAAAACATTAGATTAAATTTATAGATATTAATAAAACCAATTACTTTTTAAGTAAGGTGACGTCATTGATTACATCATCCACAACATAAAATTATATAAAATATTATAAACAACAAAATTTTTATTTCAAATAAAAATGTAAAATTAAATTGATTTTTAATATTTAGAAGCCATAAATAATATTTAAAACACGGAAGTTAGGCATAATAAAAAGCATTATTTTTTTAATAAAATGACAACAAAGTATCGGTTACCATAAATAACTTATCCAGCAATGGGTTTACCCTAAGTTGTATTACTCACCAAAAGGCAAATCGCCAAAAAGTCGCCAAAATCCGTGCAACCGTCTACCAAAGTAGCACCTTTATTTTTAGAACTCCGTTTCATCAAAAAATGTTAATCCACGTGTTAAATCAAAAATAATCTTTACTTCGTTTTTAGCAAATGTAAACAATTCTTTAGAACATCATTAGTAATCTTTTGTTGCCATTCCAAGAACAACAAAAATTGAATAATCTTTTTGTTGCCATTCTCAAAACAACAAAAAACAAATAAAACGATATTAATCAGTATTTAAAGTTTCTGCATAAGTTCAAGCCACAACAAATATTTAAACTGCTTAGTTTCATATATGCACATTAATAAATATACTGTAAAATTTTCTCTGGGTTCGCTGTACTTTCAGAAACTTTATAAATTTAATTAAATAGAAAAAACTGAATGTATGAAATGTACATGAGATACTGGTCTTGATTTCATCATTTACTACGATAATGTATACATATCTGTTATAACAAACGCTTAATGTGTAGTATTAATAAAAATATATACAGTACTTTTATCACAAAAACTATAGTTCTTAATCTTACTAAATCAACTGCTGGGTCTAGTAATGTATTTTGATGGCTTCTCACAGGAACTTGAGGTGAAAGATTTTATTTTATACACAAAATACATAACTCTTATCATAGAAATACATACACAACTAAATATATTCACAATATACATATCTCCTGTATGGATACATACATGACTAAATATATACACAAAATACATAACTTGTATCATAAATAAATACACATGCATAAATACATACACAAAATGATTAACTCTTACCATACCAAAAATATATATACAGTATTTTTATCACATAAGACTATAACTCAGTTAACTCTTATTAAATCAACTGTCCAAACTAAATAATTTATTTTGATGGACTTCTCACAACAATTTGAGGTGGAAAAGTTTATTTTACTATTTATCATAACTGTGGCTGTTTCCTTGAAATAAAAAATAATTGAAAATTCATATTCAAGGGTAAGATAATGCGGTACCTTTTTAACACAGGTTGAAGCAAGCCTGGCACTTTGCTTCCAAGTAGCATATTAGGTATTACTGAATTCCATCATGAATGGAATTCTGAGGGTCTTCCGTTCCTCATCCCCTACCACCAACTTCTTGAGAGGATTTATTCTTTCTGTGTGTGTTGAATGTCCTCTTACCACACAAGCACTATATGTTTTATGTACTATATGCATTACATCCATGCCTTCTTTTAGAATTACTTATTGCAACATCTTATTGACACAAGTACAGGTTGAAGCAAAGGTGGCACCTGTGCATACAGTTAGGCAGTTGCTAGCTGCTAAGTTTCCGTCCCGGATGGAGTTCGGAGGGACAGCACCCTAGGTTGCGGTCCGAGGGTGTCCAACATCAACCTCTCGATAAGACTTCAGCTCACCATGTATTTTGAGTGCGCCTTTGCTGTGCAGGTGCACTTAAAATTATTACAAGCATTCATGCCTTTCCTAGTATTTGAAACTGGATCCTTTGTTACAGCAGTCAGCATCACTAATCATTTTCTCATCTGGTGGCATTTTATTGACACAGTGAGATAGCCTGCTACCTAAATGATGGATTATTTTATTGCTGGATTGATCGATATGGATATTTCTGTTAAACTATGATACCTAACATTTTTTTGTGATTACAATGCTTTCTTTACTTCATACAAAGAAGTAAAAATAACACATAAGAAAATTGATGCAACATACATTCCCTCAATCTATATCTGTTAACTTATTCAAACCTCTAACACATTTCAATAAAAGAAATAAATAATAACAATTAGGAAAAAAAGCCCTAGCAAAACTTAGTCCAGGCTTGATGGTGATTTTCCTCTTGTTTGCCGATTTATTTTTTGGGAATTTCGGACAACCATGATACGACGGTGGGTGCTTTCCAGAACAATTCACACATTTCGGATTCTCTGTTCTTCCGAGGGCGGTCAGCAGGGCAGTCAGCAGATCTGTGGTTTTCAACACATTTGACACATCTAGGTTGAAAGAAGCAAATTTTCAAAGAGTTATGCCACTTTTGGAAACTGTCGCATTGCGAGATTTGGTGTATATTTATTAATCTTAATTTTTTATTAAACTTATTTGATTCTATCTCTCTACTTCGAAATTTAGGTTCATTTCAAATAAAATTCCCCTATTTTTTTCCGATTTATTTTTAAATAATTTTTTATGAATTTTTCGGAAACAAATTTGCATTGTGATTTATAAAATTTCTCCCATCATCTTAAAGTAGATGTATTTCTAAACATCCCTGCGAAAAATTCGAGTTTTTTATTCAAAATTTCCTAAGATATACGTGAATTAATATACTGGCGCATTTTGAAATTTGGCATATTTGTTGAAAGCGATAATAACATCAAATGTGGTTTAGACGTTTCGTAAAATTACTTGAAAGTAGGAACGAAGTGGCTTTTTTCCCGCTCCTGCATACTGTAAAAAGGGAAAGAAAAATAGGTTGCTATATATTAAGAAGTTCGCTAAGTGAATTATTCTTGGCGCAACTGAAAAAAATGTACAAAGATAAGTTTCTGAATTTCTCTGTAAATTGCGCACCAAAGTTTACAAAAAATATTTAGACATAATTTGAGTCTTAGAACCGAAAAATGGGGGGGGGGGGGGAAATATGATGACATTTCAGAAAAAAATCCGATTTTGTGGCAAAATACCTAAATTAGAACAATGCTCTATATATCCTAAGTCGTGCTTTCGAGACATGAAAAACGCAATTTAAATTTCGTCAATCGACCCAGTATAGAATGGGAGATGTAGAACTGTTCCCCCCCGTTTTTTTTTCGCTGTGTACATAAAGACTTGAACAACGAATGCATAAATGACTACATCAAGAATAACACAATCAAATTTTGCCTTTCTGTCAAACATCATAAAAATTCTCTCATTGCTATTCAAAAGTGCAGTGTCCTTTGCAACGAGAATAATTTATGCCCGGCCAACACCACTTTTGTGAAATAAAATATTCCATCATCGTCATGCGTTGTTGAAGTAAATCTCCATTCCCCCCTCCTTATTGGAAGTCACAAATTCCTAATTGGAAGTCACATTCCCACTCAGTCACATCCATAGGGTCTTCGCACACGTTTTAAACGATTTTCATTGTAATTACAGAAATATTTTACCTAAACTTTTTTTTTAATGTTCCGTTTGATAACCTTATTCTTCACTGTCTTTATACAACGCAATTTCAAATGCAGTAAAGCCTTTCGTAGTAGGATAATTAACATTTGTATTAAGGGATTCTGCACATTACATTGTAAATTTTTTTATATATACAATACATTTATATTGATTTTTTTGATGAAGTAGTTTGTAATAAATTATTCAGTTATTTAATGATCAGAATAATTTGCCACATTCTAAGTTCTGAAGAAGAATAAAATAAAAACCAATCAACTATCGGCAAATTTCTTATTTCATTTGAATGCTTCTTAAAATTCACAGTTTTATGAACTAAGTGTTATTTTAGGAATAATGAAATTCGAAGAACCTTTGTAAAGTAAAAATTATTTTTAATCCACATACCAACTGTAAGCAGAATTAAACATGAAAAATTTTAAATGAATATCACCGAAGAATAAATCCATGACTGTAACTGTAAAAGTAATATATATAATGAAGGTTTAGGAGCTCAGTTGTTTGACTGAAAGAATTCTCGACTTGAGAAATCATTACTCTTGTTTTGTAAGTATACGCATTTTGTTATTAGTTTCATTTCGTACGTTATTTTTGTAGAAGTAGGTCTCTGGAAATTAATTGAAAGTAATTGTTAAACGAATTTTTAATTTTTCTAAATTTTAATTAAATACATGTTTTAAAATTCAGTTTTACGAACTAAGTATTATTTTAGGGATAACGAAATTCGATGAAACTTTGTTAAGTAAGAATTATTTTTGATCCGCATACCAGCTGTAAGCAGAGCTAATTAAACATGGAAAAACTTTTAATGAATATCGCTGAAGAATAAATCTATGACTGTAGCTGTAAACGTAATGTATAATGAAGGTTTAGGAGCTTAGTTGTTTGATTGTAAGAATTCTTGACTTAAGGAATCCTAAGTTCTGTTTGTAACTGTACGTATTTTATTAGTTTCATTTCATACGTTATTTTGATAACTGAAGCAGGTTTCTGTAAACTAATTAAATGTAATTGTTAAACGAATTTTTAAATTTTCTAAGCTATATAATAAGAATATCAGAAATATTCTGTTTTATCTTAATAAAATTTGTAAATAATTCAAACAAAGAACACGCTGTAAATCTTCTCGCGGATGAAATTCACACAAAACCAAAAGTAGCATATAAAGGACATTTTAGAAAGTCAGCAAGTTTCGAGTGAACTATACATTTACACTAAATTCAGACATGTTGCGGAAATGTTCCAGTTAAATTCTTTTTTGATAAAATATCTTGTGAAGCAAATTTAGGGGCATGTGATCTTTCTGTGTTTGTGATATTTAAAGTGATGTGAATTTAAGTGTCAATGAATGGACAGCAAGTTTTAATATACGTGGCCAGTTACTGTGTACATTCTTTAAAACTTCAGAGTATAATCTGCAAAGAGAAATTAAGTTTGTGTAATTTATTGACTGAAGAGGAAGTTTATCATAAACTTCCATTATCCCACATAACAGAAACCAAAGATAACTACAAATACTTCGTGTTGAATAGAGGTGATCTTATTAAAACTTGACGTGGATGGTTTTATATTATAATTCATAGTTATTGTATTTTTAGAATGCATATAAAAAATATGAAACACTTTCAAAAATGCCGCAGATAGCATTTAGTTATTATTTCACTTTTCAAAATGTGTATAATTAATAGTGGACTATTTGGTAATGAAATATGCCAGTCTTGCAGTTGTGAATTCCTTAATGTTGCTATCAAAATGCTAAATAAATTTTACAAATATAAGTAGTGTTTTAAGGTAATTATTTGATTGAGAATATTCTTATACGATACGATAGTATCTGAAAATTCTTGGTTAATACTATTATAATTTTTTGTTAATCGACAAATTTCAAAATCAAATGTTTTTTCAAAGGGATGCTTTTGCAGATGTGCAAGTTCAGATTCTTATTTGGCTTTCAGGTAATTTTAATTTTGTTTCGTAAGAATTAAAATGATCTGATAGGAGGAATTGCACTTTGAATCTGCTTAGCCTCTTCAGCAGACCTTAGACACAGTGTATCCTTACCTTCCATAACTTCCAAAGGTAAGCATTATGTTAGTTCCAAAAACATGCCTACCAGTGGCCGAGCGGTGAAGACGCTGGTCGTTCCAACTTGTTTCCGATTCAAGGCAAACGGGCTGGCTGCATGGGCATTTCCGTGGTTTTTACCTTGTGTAACGGTGTATACGAGCCAGTTTCCCTTAGAAAGTGCTCTACTTTCGCATAGTTCTCCTTAGGGAGATAGCCCTAGTGTGCTTGGTTATAATCATCTAAACCAGAGTTTCTTAAACTAAGATTGGGACCTGCAGCAGGAGGCTGGCCAAAAATTTTAGAAATTTTGATATTTTTAACTTATTATAATAAAGATAATACGAACAAAGAAAAAACGACAATATTTCGAAGCACTTTTCTATGATTGAAACGTTCATTTTACTTTAAAAATTAAAAACCTAAAACTTCAATTATATATTACAGTACAAATGACGAAACTAAGTTTCACTCACGCAACACTTGTGGAGTCCCGCGAAATTTTCGTAAATATTATGAGGTCTTCACATCAAAAAGTTCAAGAGACCCTGATCTAAACCAAGCCAAAACGTGCATTTTATAAAATTAAATGTTCTATAATAGCTTTACTTTCATCGACATGCTTTAATATACGAATTTAATATTACTCCTTTGTAAGCTCATAACTTTTGATGAAAGATATTCCAATTTTTTCAGATTTCTAAGCGCTTTGGTGTTCTACGTTACGAGAGTAAAATGGCTGACGCATATCTCAAAACCTTCAGAAATACCATTCTACTCGGTGTCCTTGTTCTACAGATTTCCTTCATCACTGTTACATGTTGTCCAGGAATCTCAAATGCCCGTGGAAGTAAGTGAAGTTAGTTTTCTGTACCAAAATGTACTTGCAGAAAAGATTCATCCCTGATAGATTTAAGTTATTTTGTTGCATTTTTGCTTTGTTAGATTTATTAGTCATTTATTAGATATCGGTTATTAGGATTAAATTATTGTTGGTTAATTGGGCAACATTTTGAGCGAGTAAATGGCCCTTCTGAACACTTCAGTGCTTCACGCGGTTCCAAGTAAATGTATTACCTGTACAGGATTTTACATAGTTTTATGCATACACAATGAGACTAAGTGATGCTTTTCCCAAAGCATTTTGTCTAAAGCAAACAGCCGAGAAAATTAGACAAATACTTTGCTTACTAACGTTTTAGTTATTATAAGTTTTAACTGTGCAGTATGTGCAAATGTTCATTCTTTGTTTCTTTCATCGGTAAATGGCCCACCAGCTGCCGAGCGATAAAGTCGCTGAACACTGGTAGTTCGGTCCGAGGTTCGAATCCCGCAAACGGGCTGGCTGCATGGGCGTTTTCGTGGTTTTCCCAATGTGTAACGTGTATACGAGCCAGTTTCCCTTGGAAAGTCCTCCACGAAGGCATCCTTCCCCTCAGGCAGATAGCCCTAGCGTGCTTTGCCATAATTAAATACACCAACACACCATCATCGGTAAATGTTAATAATTGATAAATTGAGTTTCATGTCTCTTGGTGAATACTTTAACATAATCGTTAATATCTTGCTCCTTGATTCAAATATTTCTGGCATATTTACTTTGCAGCACTTGCTTCAATAATTTAGACACTTGCACATTTGAAGGTTTTAACCAAATGGCAATAATTTTACTGCTCTTAATTTCGTACTTTGTAAATTTCCCTTTCCATGGCATTCAGCCCCGAGCGGTAAAATCGCCAGACACTGGTATTTCGACCTTGGGTTCAATTCTAGGCTACATAGGCGGTTTCGTGGTGTTCCCCATGTCTACCGTGTAAATGAGCCAATTTTCTTTAGAAAGTCTTTCACGAAGGCATTCCTTCGCTTAGATGGTCCTAATGTGCTTTGCTATCCTTTGCATTGAAACAAAAGATCAACTGCTTTCTGATAAACGCTGAAATTATTTTGCGCTCAGTTCTTGCAAAAGCTTCAATGTTTAGTACGGCCAATTTTCGGCTTTTAAATCAACTCTGTTAACTCTCGATAAACTAAACTTTCATCTTATTCTAAAAGGAACTTATATTGAAATGGAGTATAAAAATTAATACTGAATTATTGATTATAATGGTAAATTCTTCGTAAACGAAATGCACAAAACGAGTAAGACATTGAATTTCATTCAAAGTTCATGCTATACAGCTGATTCAGGCCACAAACATTTGCCGGAATTCTGCGCAATACTAGTATAAAAATGGTATACAAATCCTGTTGAGTAATTTTATTAAAAATTACCTACTTAAAGAATTTCATAGATGTAAAAATTTAATATAATTCTCTATATCGAATTCCCTTTTGGAGAGTGTTTAGAAAATCTTCAGATTATATTCAGGGTTTCTGAATAGTTTAGTTTCAAAATTCGATCAAAAACCAAAGTCTGAATAAAATAACATTTGGAAAAGTTTTCATTATGCCCTTAAGATTTTAAGGATTAAAAATTGGGTACTTTTCCGTTTCGCCGGCGCAGATCTAGCCAAGCAGACTTTGTTGGCGACAATATACAGTATACACATAAAAAATGTTAACAAATGTTAGTTCTAAGAATTTATTTTGAAGGCATAAACATTTCAAAATGGTTTATAATTTGTAATAATAGACAATAAATTTGTAAAAAGACAATTTAAGAATTTACTATGCTGTCATGTTTCAACATCCTGATTTGCAGTTTCGTATCACGTGACAACAAGTGATCTCATCACGTAAACTACGCTACAAAAATGTAATTCTCTCACTAATTATCTACATTAATTTGAAGTTGAATCTTAATTTTGAATACAAGTTGAAAGAAACAGTCTGGTAAGAAATGGCTGCGACTTGTTTTGGAAATGAGGTGTGAAAGGTTACCAGCGAATATATACCGTTTGGCGTCACTTGTACCATTATTGGCGACTTTATCGTTTGCGCCGGCAAAACGGAAAAGTACCAAAAATTGTAGCAAAAGACACTGACTTTGTCATGCACTGTTGAACTTATAAAAATTTCACTAAATGTGTAGTTACTAAAACCTCTAGATTTTATACAGTGATGCAAATCAAATAGTGTATTAAGTTTCGTAACAATTTTTTAAAATGCGAAACTTTTATCTTCGATTCCATCGAAACATGTCGAAGGTGTTTAATGCAGTAAATGCTTACTTATGTTTCAGCACACTGGAGGAGTTTATTGCAGCAATATTGGGTTCTCAAATGTTAGTTCATGATGCTGCACTCGCTTATTTCTTACCAGATTTTAACAATATTAAAACTATCCCACTTTTTCCAACATAAAATAAGAGATTGCTGTTTTAGTAAGATATAAATAATCCGAACAGAAAGTTTGACAAATTCGGGTTTGGTTCAAGAATTCATTAGATGACTGAAGTATTTGTTGCGAGACTTCTGTTACTGTATCAGTTCTTTCAGAAACGAAATCCTAGATATCGTAAAATTTTTTCTGTTGAGTTAATGGTTAATTTTCAGCTAGATAACATTAAGATTTCGTCCTAAATAATGCAATTAAATTAAATCTTAGAAATTTTCCACGAGAAAGTAACTCGTTTACATTAGAACAATCTTGAATAGGTCATCTCCAGTACCTTTCGACTTTCGCAATTTACTGCATTCGATATCATGCACTGTTGAATGTTAAATTTGTACATAAATTACTCGCATTGCTATACTTCATCGCTAACCGGAAGCTAAAGTCTGTTCACTACATGGCTAAACTGGCCAGCATGTCAAATGAAATTCAGTATAAAAGTAATCCACAAAAATATTAATGCGAAATCTATTGATAAAGTTGATACTTTTATTTTAGTTTGTGTTTTATATTCCTCTTTATAGGACAATACGATATTCAATTTTTCGTCAACTAAGAATTGACGGAATCTCTGGCAAATGTACTCCACTCCTTCTGCGGGTTTTATAAGATTGCTCTTTATTAAACAATCAATAGATGCAACACCTTGGAAAATAAGTTAAATGTGAATTTTTCTATGATGCAGATGCACATTCTGCTTAAGAAATCTACTCTAGTTTCCTACGTTTAGAACTACACTTAAAATATAACGAAGCTAGGTTTATTTTTAACTGCGAGGCTCTAAAATAAGTCTTCAGAACTAGTCTTCAGACATTAATATACTGGCCACATTAGTCTAAAATTTAAAAAATTCTAAAGCTCTCCTAGCCGATTGGATAAGACTGCTTAACGTCGACAGTTCAACCCGAACTTCAATACTAGCGATAGATGTGCGTTTTCGTAGTTTCGTTTACAGTTGTTGACAATGCTTTCAGAACAGACCGCTTTTGTAAAATTTCGCCTTTGCGAAACGTTTTCGCTTCTAGTTTATCACGCTGCTCAACGGCGGCCGAGTGGTAAAATCGCCGAACACTGGTAGTTTCGAACCGGGTTCGATTCCATGTAAACGGGCCGACTGCATAAGTGTTCGTGGTTTTCGCCACATGTAAACGAGGTAGTTTCTCTCTGAAAGTCCGCCACGAAGGCAGCCCTCCCATTAGGCTTGTAGTGTGCTTTGCCACGATCAACTAAACAAATGCAAGTTTCTCGCGATACTCAATTTCTTAAAAGAATGATTTATAGGTAAATGGTGGTGTTCAAATATGAAGGAGTTCACTTAAAATTTTAATAAGAGTTGGTTAAACGGAAGATTCATCATCTCAAATTCGCGTATCACGTGTAAAATGTAATTTTCAATGTTAAAAGTACAATTTTTTCATGTACTGTAAGACAGCATCCTTTCATAAGCGCTTAAAAATTCCATGAATATTTTGCGAATGGCATTTTGACCAAAGTTTTTCGGTTGTTAACGTTTCATGGAGGAACATCAACACTATCATGAAGTTGGGCAACATAATCTCTCTAATTTGAGCCAAGTGAAACCGTTAATTTCGGCGATTCCAGTCTCTATACAGCGAGCCTGGAAGGTTAGATTTTGCCAAAATCTCACTTTTGGAAAAGTAATCTTGGTTAACTTCTTACCTGCTGTTCTTTTAATTCTATTCCGTAACCTAACGCAATTGAATCGCAGTAGTCTCCCTCAACTATTTCACCGTCTGGGGGCGGCTCTCCTGTGAATGAATGCACTTACGATAATTTTCTGAGTTCAAATGCGAAAGAATCCACGAATAGTGCACAAGTAGTAAATTCTTCAGGGCCCACCAGCGATATAGCGGGAAAGTCGTTGAACGCTGGTAGTTTGAATCCCGCGAATGGGCTGACTGCATGGGCGTTTTGTGTAACGTGTATACCAACCAGCTTCCCTTAGAAAGTCCTCCACGGAACCATTCATTCTCTTGGTCAGGTAGCCGTAGAGGCTTTGCAGTAATCACACAAACCAACTAAACCAAACTTATCATTTTTAACGCATTGATAGTAATATATTTACTTCTGTTAACCCGACTTCATTCATATGCGGTAGGAATTTAAAATTAAGATTCAAAGATTGGTTATGGCCTATCAGCGGTAAAGTCGCTGAACACTGGTAGTTCGGTCAGAGGTTCAGGATCCCGCGAACGAGCTGGCTGCATGGGCGTTTTCGTGGTTTACCCCATGTGTAACTTGTATATGAGCCAGTTTCCCTTGAAGTCCTCCACGAAGGCATCCCTCCCTTTAGGTAGATAGCCCTCGAGGCTTTGTCGTAATTAAATAACCTAACCAAAGATTAATTGTGAAACACGGAACTCTATTAAGGGAAAGAAATTTTTTGTTTCGATATGGGCAGATTTAGCTGAACGTCTCACATTAACGACGCCAGTAGCATGTTTGTAACTGAATTGGGATTCAGTTTTTGAAATCTGGCTCCACCAGCAGCCGAGCGGTGTTGCTGAACACTGGTACTTCGGTTCGAGGTTCGAATCCGGCGAACGGGCTGGCTGCATGGGCGTTTTTGTGGTTTTCCCCACGTGTAACGTATATACCAGCCAGTTTCCCTTGGAAGGCCTCCATGAAGGCATCCCTCCCCTTAGGTGGATGGCCATCGAGGCTTTGGTTTTACGAGATTACGGCAAACATTCTTGTAACCTGATAAGTACAACATTAATGTCGCTTTAAGAACTCACTCCTTCAACGTTGCTTTTATTGATTAGTTTATTAAACAAATTATTTTTCTTCCAGATATTACAGAAGATTTTATAGTGCAGTTTGGCTCACCGATAAGAATCCGCTGCTCGTTATTTTCAACTCAAATCGTAGTGGACGGTTCAACTCGCAATGTGTCTTCTGAAGATTTGCTAATTAAATTTAGAGGAACTTTTCTGTCCGACACTTACAATATAGACGAGCGCACTATAGAGTATTTTAAATATGGAGCCACTCTGTATGACCAAGGGCCTTATTTCTGTTATGTGAAAGCTCGAAACGTCAAACGTCTGCTGTTTGTATGTTCTACAAGTGTCGCTGTCGTTTATCGTAAGTAAACAATTGCTTATTTTTCTACATTATCTAAAATTTCATAATTTAATTGTGCCTTTCATAATTATGCATCAATATATTTTGATGTATGTTAAAAGCCGTACCAATAACTGATTTAATTATTAGGTAAGTCCGCAAAAATTAGATAATTCGTTTCGGAAAATTTCAAACATCTTGCTGAACATTTCAGTCTCCGTTTAAATCTTTCTTGAAATTCAGAGTACTATTGTAAAAGTAAAATTGCCACTGTCAGCGGAATTTGAAAATCTTGCTAAACTCGTGAAGAATATCAAGTTGCTGAAATTTCCAACTAAATACTATGCAATGGTTAAATGTAAATTAAGGGGACTCGTACACCTTAAAACCCATAAGATGTTCAAATAGGTGACTGTTGCAAGAATTGGGATAACTTATTTTAAAAGCAATTACTACCAACTTTTTACAGCTGACTACATAATATAGCTGCTTTCTGAAATAGTAATCAGAAAGTTTGTGTTGCCACAAATATTTTTATAATTTAATCCGCTTTGTGACCACATTTTTCGTCAGTGTTTCCAACTTGCGCGCACAGTTATAAAACATTCTGCTTCATAATTTAATTCCGTATCTAATATATATAGCTTTTATAACATTTGGAAACTACTGTGAACCTAAAATTCTAAAAATTTCATGTTAAATTTTTAAGTTTATGAAATGTATTTTATTAACAAAATTTGTAATGTTTTCGTCCATAACATTTTTCAATATTAAAATATTCACCAGATTGTTGGTTCAGTTAGATAATAGTGCCCATATAAAGAATTCCATCCAATTTCAAGTATGTACCATTAACCATTTTTAAAATATCATGCGCGCAAGGTGGAAACATGGCGAAATATTTTGTCACAAAGAGGATTAAATTACAAAAATATTTGTGGCAACACAAACTTTCTGGTTACTAGTTTCCAAAGCAGCTGTATTATGTAGTCAGCTGTAAAAAGTTGGAAGTAATTTCTTTTAAAATAAAATATCACAATTCTTGCAACAGTCACATTTTCGAAGATCATGAGGGATTTAAGGTGTACGAGTCCCCTTAAGATTATATTATGCTGATGCACACAGTTCTGCGGAAATTCTCGAGTTATGTTAATAAATAGCTATGCATTTTGTTGTACTTCAACTAAATCTTAAGTCATGAAGCTTCAAAATTTCATCGAAACTGTTTACACTAATGGAATAATTTTCAACTTGACAATTCTATTTCGTAATTTCCTTAAATTCAACTTAAATTAAAAAAAAATTGGTATGCAGAACTGCAAGTATGTATAAATTCTTGAAGAGCTTTAAACGATAGTGACAGTTCAACTGAAATTTCCAATGAAATACGAAATGGTTAAATCTAAACGAACACTATATCATGCTGATACATATGTAGTAGTAGTGCCGAAACTCGGAGTTCTGTTGGTCAAAAACTATGAACTTTGTAGTAGTTTAATTCAATTTTAAAATTCATGAAACTTCAGGATTTTATTGAAACTGCCTACGTTTAAATAGTTTTCAAAATTAGAATTCGTACTTGAGTTAAAATAATTGGTATTCAAAATTACAACTCAATTCTTCGGGAGCTATAATTCTGGTATCTTCGGGAACTCAAATTCTTAGGGAGTTATAAATGACGATGCAATATAATTCCGCACTTAGCGGTAAATTTCGGCTGACGTGAATGTTAATTTCATTAAATATGTAAAATGGTACAGTCAATTCCCGTTAGTCCGACCCTCCATAAAGCGGCCCATCTCTATATAGCTCCTTGTAGACTCTGTGGATATCCCGAGCGTTTATTTCCTCATATCATAACACTCTCTTTGTGTTAAAGTGAGAATTTTCGTAACAAAAGGATAGCTCGTTTCTTCTGGAGGGTAAAAAGCAGTATAAAATCTAATTTTGTACACGAAAAGGCGTTTTCATTGTGTTAGAGCCTCTGGGACTATTTTAGGAAACTTTCTCCGGTTCTTTTGAGCCCACCAGCGGAAGAGCGGTGAAGTCGCTGAATTCTGGTAGTTCAGCCCGAGGTTCGAATCCTCACGAACGGACTGGCTGCATGGGCGTTTTAGTGTTTTTCTCTTGTGTAACGTGTATACGTGACAGTTCCCTTATTTCCTCCACGAAGGCATCCCTTCCCTTAGGCAGATGGCCCTAGTGTGCTTTATCGTAATCTCAATAACACCAAATCGAACCGGTTCTTTCGTATTAAATGCGCCCCATCGGCGCATAAAGCCAAATTTTAATTTCCGGCGGAAAATTGTTAGCAAGTGTATTTAGGACATCGACGAACATACAATTGGCAGCGTCTCTTTTATAGGGGAACTCCGCTACATAGGACTCCAGATGGCGGTGATTTTTGTTTCGCCATATGCAGTCAGTAGTTTGCGTGTGAGTGCGAGCACCAGTTTCAGAATCGACGAAATCCTATTTTTGATTCACTTTAAAATTAGTATACCTAGCTTGGTCAAGTTCTTCTGTTTTATATTCCTTCCAAGAGACTGGTGGTGCTGTACTGATTAACCCAAATGGTAAAGAGACAGTTGCACGTCCTCCATCGCTTATCACTTGCAAGAGACCGAAAAAATGGTCGCTCCTTCTTTACTTCTTTTTTAACTTCGTTCATTAGTTTAGTGGCACTACGGTCGAGGACCATTACAAGAAATGTTTCGTGACAAATGCCTCCAAAAATCCATTGTGGACAAAACATTCTTCTAATATTTTTAAGTCTCGTAACATGCTTTCGTAAGTCTCCACAATGCCCAAATCCCCCCGATTTTTTGTTTGAAATTTTGAGTGAATCGCAGCCGCAAATAGGACGAGGTCCGATTTTTATTTCATTATTTATGAGTAATTTAACAATTTATTAAATTTTTATCGTTGTCTTTATATTCATTTTAATTATTAGTTTAGACATTTCCCTTTCTTCCTGACAGCCTTCCAGAAGGGTCCGGCACTTCCGATTTTAGAAATTAAGCTCTGAAATGCGTACATAACTCCCTTTAAACAAATTGGATTACATGAGCATTCCAGGAAAATGGTGTTCGACAAAATTGGTCGTTTTATTGGCTTTGATAAATGTTGCATAGATCTTATCCGGTGAGACTATTTAATCTCGAGTTTATAAACGTCTCAACGAATCGATACATTCTTCACCCGAATTCGATATATTCTCTTCTAAGTAACAGCACCTAATTTCCCTACGCGAAATAGGCAGAGAGCATTAAGTGTGCTTTGCTATAAAGTTGTATCCGGTTGCATTTAAAACTAAATACTGCATACAATTTCAGTGTACCTAACAACGGAACATTCGCAGAGCATGCAACTGGAATCTTAATTTTGGAGAAAATGCAAAGCAATTATCTCAAAATAACAAATGCTTGTTCAAGGAGTTTTCATTTATCTTTATTTACTGTATAAATTATCGGCTAAGGGCTGGAAATTTATGGTTCGGCAATAACTGAAGTCGTTATAAGGATGCTCGTAGTTCATTGATAGTATTGCAGAATTTCGAAGGTTGCATACATATATTCTGCAGTATGATTGTTAATGGGTGGGGAGATTTATCTGAAAAATGGAATTTCTGCTCTAGTTTTATACTAGTGTTATGTCTGTAGAATAGTAATGTTGCGTGATGCGAGTTCGTGGATTTGGAGTGATTGGATGACAACACTTGATGAAGAATCAAAACACTACTTAATCACTATTACTCGGGATAGCTGCGAAATCGCGTTTACAGTAGTTGAAAAAATACGACAAACACGCTGAAAGAATAAGCAACAGCCTTCATGCTGTCAGGCTACAATGGTGAAGACAGCTTCACGCCGAAACACAAGTCCAACTCCCGACCCGGTCGATCGCTCTCGGAGCTTCACCACACAAGATTAAACTGGACGATACGCTGCTACTCCGCGTACAAGCAGGGTATACATAGCTTTTTGGCCTGCCTACGAGAACATTCCAGGCCAAATCCGTGAGAATTCGTTCTAGAATGTTTTCTCCATCAGTCTATGGCATGTCGCCAAACCGGCGATTTCGCGCCAAATGTGGCAACCCCGCCTTCCCTTGCTATTTTCTGGCAACCCTAAACTTGCCTTACGGGAAAGCTTTCTTTGGGCATTTCGTAACTGTAAAATTCAGCTAAATTAACTAATCTTATTTTGTTAAATAACTTAAATTTTGGCAATTTTTGGCTTGCCAGGATTTCTTTGCCGGATGGGAACAAACTACCGGGCATTGTATTATAAATATAATACCAAAGGTTTCATTTAAATATAAATGGGGAAAGTTTTCGCTCATTAATTCGGTGAACGCATTGGACAGTTGTCTCGTTTCGAAATCCTTTCTTTTTAAAATTAAATTTTCTAAATTAAAACTAACAAATGCTATAAATTTCAGATAGAGGTCATAAGTATGGAACACAATGGCGGCGATAGTCGAGAATTCAGGAAGCTCATCTGTAGGTTGATGGCTCATTCCAGTCCTGCATAAACGTGACATCATTTCTACGACACTGCAAGGTAAGTAAAGTTCTTTATACATCTGCGTTTTCAGTATGTTTATGTTGCCTAACTTTTTGTTTTCATCTGAACAAGGGCACTTTTTTCCGTTTTGAAGACTTATTCTTTACTGCAGATACTCAAATGGTGATATTGGAAGTTTTCTAAATGTTTAATTTTTGGAGTGCATACTGAAGAGAATCTTAAAATATTACGAAATATCAAAGGAATATTAGTTCCCGGTCAATTTTATATTTCAAGTTACGAGTTACGAGTTTTTCAAGTTACAATTTTATATTTCAAGTTTTATATTGCCGAGCTTGATATACGCGGGATATGTACCATACAAATGACCTCTCATAAAGTAGAAATGGGGTTTTTCATGTACACCTTATGTTTCATACCATTGTATTTATTCGAATATTGTTCTGGAAATTTACTACTTTTCAAAGATATTTCACGTAAGCACTAAGTACTAGTATGCTACTGTTAAATCTTCTGTCTTTGAAGAGGCAAATCCAAATTGACAGTGCACAAGAGGGTAGACTTCCTGACCTCTGCTAAAAGGCCCTTAAAGCTCTCGAGGCGATCACACAGTTCTCAAGGTCAACGCCGGGCAATGAACAAGGTCAGCTTTGAGTACAAGACATGGCGACGAGACAACAGCTGGTCCCCGAAAAACCTAAGACATCTTAAGAAGACATCAGACCTCTTGAGCTGACAGACGCCCCCAATGAAAACCTTTATATTATTCTGCCATGTATAAACATAAAGCATAGAGCTCTTACAGTCCCTGCCGAGCTTGACCGGATCACCGAACACCATGGCTCTACTCACTGTGAAGACTATGTACCAAAGGACCCGAATCCAATTACAGGTTTTGGCTAGAACGGCGGAGAATTGAAATCGGCAAGAATTATGAAACTCCATGGTTGTTTGCAGTAATTCACACCAGACTTCGAAGTTAGCCTACGAAATTCTTCTGCATCAAGTATTTTGTTTGTTGTACATTAGGTATCTCCGTCATCTGTATTAAGTCTTCCTAATTAAAGAAAACTTAAAATGAAATGCTATTTAAGACTAATTCTAAATGCTATGGTTTACTTACGTCAAAATTATTTTAATTTTCATTCAATACGTCATGCATTTTACTTTAATTCACACCCGTTTCTTTCCGTTAAGGACACCACATGCCTATTTTTTATTAAAAATATATGTACTTCCAGCAAGAACGCATTTTTGTCATCACTACGTTTTGACTTTGATCAACGTTTTTAGACTGTAGTCTCTACGTAATATGTAGTCATGCCTTCATATTCCATGCTATAGTTTTCATGAATCGTGTAGCATTCAGCAGTCTAAATGTAGTATTTATATAGTTGGGCATTATTTAATCATGCAGTAGCATATGCCATACAACAGATCATTAATTGCCTATCTCTTGGTAACTAACGCCATGTAGTCCAATTGAGTATCGTGTAGTAACATATCGCAGAGTATCGTATATAATCTTTCACTGAACGTCTCGGGCAGTATTATGCTGCATGTGTATATCCCTTAAAGCACCAAGTATGGCAAAATACTTATCTGTCATGCCCTTATTTGGCATTTTTTTATATTCAACAAATATGCTGGCTCTCTGCTACTGTTGTAGGGGGCGGGGCTCGTGTGGGCCCCCACTTTCCCCGTACCATCTTGGGCTGCTCTAGATCAAGGGGGACGAGATGATATGCCAATTAACCGCCATGGTAGAGGGGGATGCTCGCGTCCTCCGTTACTAAACTACTCGTGTAACTTACCCTATTCCAATAAACAAATTAAAAACAGTGATACTCTTTGAAATTATCATCGACATTCTTTTAAACACAAGCAGCAGCATGTTGACAAATACCTTCTCGTTTAAGGTTTGCCAATGCTCAATGCCGCTTCAGACAATTTTCTACTGAAATTACCTGACGCCTTTTGCTTCACAAATGAAACTGCTAGCTCGAAGTGGATTCAAATCCCCACGAACAGACTGTTTACTTGAGTTTCAATAGTTGCCCTCTAATGTAGTATGACTGAGCCAGGTACTTCAAAAAGTTTCCCGCGAAGGCATTTGTCTTCGGTAGATAGCCTTCGTGGAATTTGCCATGCCAGAAACACTCAAATCGTTTTATCTAAGCGAACAAGCAACGTGTTCTTTTTTCTACTCTTCTGTTATCGAGACATGGTTAAAAATATATGTATGTGGGTATACATGTGTATGCATAAGTATGTACATGTAATTCATGCATACATTTCTGAATCGGCTTTCGATATCGGAAGTATACCTGATTTTTAACAGTGTAAAATGTCATGTGGGAAATAGAACTACCCTTCAAACTGCTTCTGCATTACCCAGGATGTGCTGTAGTCTGCGAAGTCTAATGAGAACCAGTTAATCTCGTTAGTATTGCTGTATTTATACTAATGTCAAATTATTTAGTTTTTGATTACTGTTGACATAAAATTTCTTCTCTATTTCAGTACTTCATTTCAAGGAAGATAACCTATTGCATTACCTGGAAGGCGTGCGAGAATGTGTGAAAGACTGATATCAAGTCCTTCCAAGATGTTTTGCTGAGTTATTTAACATTTGGCAGTCATCTCAACTGCTTGATAGTGCGAATTTTATGTTAATTTCTATATTAGTTATAGGGCGATGTGAAATATGAGAATCGAAGCATTCATGATGCGCACTTACGGCATCTACGGATTCCGATAAATTCACATTTTGAATTTGACGGTTCCTCACCCTATAACTTTGAACGTGCATTGTCTGCGTATCCAAGTCTTGTAATTTTGTACCTCTGCAGCTTTCAGTGATATGTTAATGTGTTGATGTTAGAATGAAATGTGTATTTACATATGCATGAATGACTACTGTAATCGTTAAGACAAAATCCTTGTTTGATTGCTTTGTAATCGTATTGAAATGTTTTGCACTGCAGATTAGATTATTTTAGTGTTTAACCCAGTTCTGTAAATATTAGTTTGATGTATGAATAATAATTTGATATAAATGAAATGTGTATTTACTTATGCATGAATGACTACTGTAATCGTTAAGACAAAATCCTTGTTTGATTGCTTTGTAATCGTATTGAATGTTTTGCACTGCAGATTAAATTATTTTAGTGTTTTTAACCCAGTTCTGTAAATATTAGTTTTTATGACGTAGAACTTTTTACCAGTAACGGGTACTTTTAAAACTAGTGGGATTGTTTTAGTAGAGTTTAATGATATATTTATTCATTCCATTCGGATAACTTTGAACTTTTAGGTATACTGTAATTATAACATTTGTAGCAGACATTTTTATCGGGGTTCAGTATTTTGTCACTTAATGGATGTTGAAACAGTACAGCTGTGACGTATATATTATCTTTTACTGTTGTAATAGAAAGCATTCCTTCCATAGAAGTTCTTATTAGTTTTTATACTGTATCATCAGACTTGTGCATTTTAAACGAATTATAAAGAATTTGTTGCCTTGTTTTTATCTCTTCAGATAAGTTTTCAAAATGGAAATGTCATCGTAGTATGTGTATATATAAAATCTAATAAATTATAACTATTGTATTGTATTTGAAGTGTGTTTCTGCATAGATACATTCACTGAAGCTTTTATCATGAAATGCGATGAGACCTGTCGTTAACACATGTAATGTAAATTATCACATCCTTCGTCACTACGTGTTCGTGTAGTGTAAATGTCTAGTCGGCAATAGGAAGGTAGGTTACTCGAATGTCATCGGTTACAGCTGGTAGTTTTTTGGGGAACGTTCCCCCAACTCAAATTTTTAAGTTTTCTACAGTACGAACATGAACAACACTTATAGAAATGAACACTTGAACATCTAATATTTCCTTGTTGAATAATAAAATACGGGATGTTTATAAAGCCTCTATGTATTTCTGCTTAAAACAGGCTTTATTCTGAAATGTAAATTATTCGCATGAAAAGTCAACATAATAGAACACTAAATTAGTACGACTCAGTATGTCCTCCCTGAATGTATGCACAATTGCCGCCGTTCCACTACACTCCAGAACACCTTATGTAAAGTTATTGGTGTAATTTCAGCTGCTGCAGCGACAATTGTTTTAATTATTCAATGCTGACAATCTTCATTCGGTACACTTTGGATTTGATATCTCCATACGGAAAAGTCTAGAGGATTTGAGTCTGGTGATCGTGGAGCCCAAAACAGTTACGAGCCCCGAACAATACACCTATCAGGAAAAGTTTCATTAAGGTAATTACACACAATAATGAAATAGGGAAAGTGCTCCGTCCTGTTGGTAGACAAGTGTCAATAACGTCATCTGATACTAGCTGTGGCTCAAGATATTGTTGCAACATACGGAGAAATTTCTGCAATGACGGTATTTTCTGCAAACATGAAAGGTCCGTAGAGCTTAAACTTAATTATTCTAATCTATACGTTAACTTTATGTGCGTCTTGCTGAGTTTTGTCTAACACGTTTAAATGTTCATCAACCCAGATTCAGCAATTATGCCTATTAACATGGCCGCTGAGATGGAATATGGCTTCGTCGCTGAAGAGGACATTCTCCAATAAGTTCTAATTCTCCACAGCTTCCAACAAATCGTAACACATGACTTGCCGAGCTGCATCTTCCTCGGCTTCAAGCTTATGCATAGTTTGAATGTGGTAAGCATCTTTGTTTAAATGAGTTCCCGGCCGAGTCTTCATGTAGATTCCTGGAAGCTACGCGTAATTGCTTTTTGTATGTTTTGCACAACTTGTGGCGCTATCGAAGATCTGCTAGGACGGTTCTTAATCTTTAATACTGCCAGTTCTCTTGAATTTGTTTACGAAGGTTTTAATATCTGCTCTTGGTAGGGTATGGTTTTCTGAATTTGAGCGCGAAGTCCTCCTGCACCTGTTGTTGAAACATTAATACATGCGTATGGGCACAAAAAATGGCTACGCTTTCCTCTGTTGACAGTATTCTTTCAGGTCGTCAGTGAAGAAATTACAATTGGAACATACTTGTCAAAAATATGTAGCCTTTATAAACACGCTGTATAAGCAGTCGATATAAATTTTAACACTCGATGCAACTTGTAATAAAAAATGTAGGTATTTGAATGTTGATTTCCTTCATCAAATAACATGGTTAAAGAAAATAAATGCATTTAAAATAAATTCTTTAAGGCTGCAAGTTAAATTGAACTTTTCCCGAATGGCCGACCTTGAAAGGGATACTCTTGATGCAGGATGTTATTTTTCCTCGTGGAATTTCTTCCTCAATGTATGAAATAGTTAACATAAAAATTTTAATAAAATTAATTTGAGTTCATATTTATGTTTTCGCAAGATTTACATATTACTACTACATTCACATTAAGCCTTTCACTGCTTTGTTTTTAAGAATATCAAGCTTGTTTGGCCCCTTTCCAGCTAAAAATTTGAATTCTTTTACTTCTTGATCACGACGACAAATCTGAACGGCTCGGCTTTCCTTCCTTCACTTTAGTCTGTAAACTAAGTTTAAATGGCATTCTGGTTTGGCTGTTGTCTATCTACGGAAGGGAAGCAATTTTTATTTTCTCAAAGTAATCCTGATGCGATTTTAGCTTAAGCAACTTCACGTGTAAAGAATTCTTTCCGAAATGCTTTTAATTAAGGCATTCTTAAAGGAATTTCAATTATTGCTCTTATTTCATACTTTTCTTCTGCAAGCTAAAGATGTCTACATTCGTTTTAAGATATTACGGATTATATTTTAACATATTTTAGGTGTCGTACGTTCTTGAATTCATTTCTATTATTAATTGATCACGGAAATGAGCGTTATTAATAGAAAACATTGACTTGTGGCTGTGAAAGTAACCGAAACAATTAGAACCGTATTAGTTTCCTGCAGCGAGTTCAATATCGAAAAGTATGTGATCGAATGAAAGTAAAACATAAGGAAGCTATGTATGCAAAACTGCTATTTAAAACTGCGATTAGAACAAACGGTTTGACGCATGATGAGACATAATTTGAATAAAATGTACTAAAAATGCACATTTGAATGCCTAAAAACGGCGACTTAAGGTGTATTCTATCAAATTTTATCCGATCGTTTTCCATAGTTTAATAGCTTATTAGAGTGGAAAATTTAAAATTTCTTCGATAACCAAAGTATTTATCTGTATTTGAATTTAAATATGAAATATTTCGGTCTAAAATCAAGGCAAAAAAGAAGCAGCACCAAATTATCTATACACAAATTAAATTTCATTACTACAATAAACTAATTCCCAACCAGCTTCAGTACATTAAACAAAATGATTTTGCTAGAATTTTTCCCCTCAAGTTCATTCATTAAATGTCCTAAAATAGTACCAGAATCCCTCATGTAAAAGGAACAGAAATATTGGCTTCTCTTTCTGAAATCATTCCCAAATTTTGAGTTACGTAGTAAGTGTATCTTCGGAAATAGACCCAAAAGTTGCCCAGCGGTAAAGTCTCTGAAAACTGGTAGTTTGGTTCAGGGTCCGTATTCCGGCAAGTGGGCTGAATGTATGAGCGTTTTCGTGATTTTCTTCATGTGTAACGTTTATACGAGCCATTTTCCCATAGAAGGGTTCTCCAACAAGGCATCCTTCCACTTAGGGAGATAGCGCTAGTGTACTTTGCCATAATAAATTAGAGAAACCAAAACGTTAAAATGATGAAGGTAGCTCTTCCTTACGCAAAGAGTCCAAAAAAAAATTTATCTACAGCGCGCGAGACTGTGTATCGGAAATTCTAAAGGTATGCTCATTTAAAAATTATTTTGAGATTTTGCTGTTTAACTAAATTTTATGGTTTAAGCACAAAGAACATGATATTTAATAAAGGTAACATACAGAACATTAAAAATGTCCCTTTGGACGTAATTTAAAATCCGAGAACTTTCAGACTTTTTTATTATTATTCTTAAATCAAGAATTTAAGTTCTTTGGCAATTGGCTCGATAAAAATTAATCATGGAAGAAAAAACAGAGGATTTCATTCACTTCTCGGCGAATCTCGTCAGGAATCTTCCTTTGTATCTTTCTCGAATTGCAAATGCATAAACGCCAGGGAAATTTTTAGATGAAATTTTCACTCGATGACCTTTTCTTTACCGAGGAAGGCCTGTATATGTTACATAAATAATATTAAAAACTTGAAAAATGAGTATGGAATTTGATACTTATTCATTAACCTGGCTCAAATGTTGAACAGAGATGCTTAAGAACAGAAAACTGAATAAATTCCCAAATATGGCGCCTTTCTTAATTAACCCACTAACTGCCAAATTTTGTTCTCTCAATTTACATTTATTTCTCGGTGTCTAAATTGAAACACCCAGAAAGAAATGTAAATTGGCACAGAGGCTGGAACGCGGACGGGCTGGCTGCATGGGCGTTTCCGTGGTTTTCCTTTTCCCCATGTGTAACGTGTATACGAGGCAGTTTCCCTTAGAAAGTCCTCCATGAAGGCATCAATCCCTTTAGGCAGATAGTCCTCGTGTGCTTTGCCATAATTAAATAATCCAATTCAATACAGAGACTGGAAATTGGGATGTAACTGGATAGATGGAATCTGCAATGAGCCCTAAATGAGGATCGAAGTTCAAGTAGCCCTCACCGGAAAATATAATTCCCATTGGCAATAAATAGTTAGTAAATATATTTCAAACCATTAGAAAACACGGCAGTACACAGGAGTTGGAAATGATGTACATAATGACATACCGGGCGTTTTGAAAATGCTGAGATCTTTAAACTTGCAAATATTTTACTTCCTATCACAAATAATACTCTCTAGCTCATTTAACAACTACTACTCAACAACTCATGCAAAATCTTGAGAGAGGTGTAAATAACAATGTAAAAAAGTAACTATTGTTTCCAACCTAATTAAAGTTACCAAATTTCAGTTACTAAGACAATTCATCCAAACTGGGATCATGGCAGTTAATAGGTAAAGTTAAGGGGACTCATACACCTTAAAACCCATAAGATGTTCGAATAGGTGACTGTTGCAAGAATTGGAATAATTTATTTATTTTAAAAGAAATTACTACCAACGTTTTACAGCTGTTTACATAATATAGCTGCTTTCTGAAATAGTAATCAGAAAGTTTATGTTGCCACAAATATTTTTATAATTTAATCCGCTTTGTGACATTTTTCGTCATGTTTCCAACTTGCGCGCACAGTTTAAAACTTTCTGTTTCATAATTTAATTCCATATTTAATATATAGCTTTTATAAACATTGGAAACTACCGTGAACCTAAAATTCTAAAAATTTCATGTTTTAAATGTTTATTTTATTTGAGTGAGTTTATAAAATGTATTTTATTAACAAAAATTTGTAATGTTTTCGTTCATAAAATTTTTCAGTATTAAAATATTCATCAGATTGTTGGTTCAGTTAGAAAATAGTGCCCATATAAAGAATTCCATCCATTTTCAAGTATTTACCATTAGCCATTTTTAAAATATCATGCGCGCAAGGTGGAAACATGGCGAAATATTTTGTCACAAGGAGGAGAAATTACAAAAAAATATTTGTGGCAAACACAAACTTTCTGGTTACTTTTTCAGAAAGCAGCTATATCATGTAGTCAGGTGTAAAAAGTTGGAAGTAATTGCTTTTAAAATAAATAAAATATTCCAATTCTTGCAACAGTCATATATTCGATGATCGTAAGGGGTTTAAGGTGTATGAGTCCCCTTAAAACCTTATTCTGAAAAACGAATTCTGCTTGACGGTCCATCTGTGTTGCCGCATACAAAACCACATATCATAGAACTTAAAAACTGCACCTTTAGTCGTTAGTGTTGAAAAAACAGCAAACCAAAGCATACCTGTGAGATTTCAAACTCCTTAATTCAAAGAATCCGCCGGCATCCTCCTTCCCCTTACTCATGCACCTCACGTGACCATCCGCTGCACTTCTGCTAACACGTTCGACTCGGCCATCATTGCTGACTTACTCCGGTGCTTTATCACCATTATGGACTTTTCTATGCACAAAAGTTTTTCACTTGAAATGATATGTGCAATTATCTTCAGAAATGCTCTTCCTCAATTGCTTTTCTTTCCATTCATCTTACAATGTGTTGGGTAATTGCGTTATGCTTTCTAAGTTATGGACTTTAATCTACGAATGTTCAACTAGGATAGGTCTCCGGCCTGGAGCCTGCGAAAACCTTACATCCTCCTCCTTCTGGGGAATGTTTCGCAGCATCTCTGGAATTTGTAGCCATGGAGGCAAGGAGAGGGGCTTTCGATTGAAAGATTGCACTCCTACCTTCAAAACGCCTAGCTTTGATTTCATCCAAAATCTCTAAAAAGCTTTTGGAAGAACACTGAAAAGCACCAACGTTTCCTTCGGCGCGATAGAGACATGGAAGCAGGAAGTGATGCGTAGGTCAACTATCAACTTCTTATCAAATTTAGCGTGTTGTGGAGCACATTGCTGAAGATTTGCACCACCAAAAATTCACAAGTGGGGACATTTTATACACATTTTATCAATAACCCAGGCTCTCGATCGCGTTTGGATGGACGCACTCATTTACAAGATCTACAATCTTAGTTTTAGAAAATTATATCTTGCACATAGTGAAATGCTACATAACAGGTAGACGCATTGTTGTTCACATTTCAAACACATGGGCAACTAGCCGTGTCATTACATAGCGTTCCACAGGGGTCCTTACTCGGTCCCACACTTTTTAACGTTTATGTGAACGACATTCCTCGCACAACCAACACTACACTAGCAATGTTATGCTGATGATACAGCGGTTTTTTACCCAAAATGCGTTTCTTAGTCCAGTCATTCAACATGCACTAAGAGATTGGTTCCTAAGTGGAAAATACAAGTTAATTCCGAAAAGACAATTTCAATTATGCTCACTAGGAAAATGATTATTTACAAGCATCTTAAGTTATATGGAACAACTCTAACATAGTTATATGTCAGAGTCAGTGGCGTAGCGAAGGGGGCAAGGAGGTGTATGATGCCCCGGGCGCCGCTCGCAGAGGGGCGCCAAATGGTCTCCAAACAAGATTTTTCATCATATGACTGTGTTATTTTCGGAAGGGGCGCGCCAAAAAGGTATTTTGCCCCGGGCGCCAGTTATGCTCGCTACTCCACTGGTCAGAGTCTGTCATATAACTTAAGTTATCTGGAAGTCTTAAGTTATATGGTTGTCTTAAGTTATATGGAACAACCTGGGCTAAGCAGGTTGGGTGATCCTCACAAATTCTTTCACGTTGTTGTCACATATACATTCAATTACCCAGAACATTCCAGTGCGCAAAGCCCCACTACGCACCTTGTAGAGACATTAGGTTATTTTGAAGCAAGAGACACGAAAAATGAGCAATGACCTCGCCGGCACTCGAACCACGAACTTCTCGATACATGCCGAGTGTGCTGACCACTATACCACAAAGGCATGCTAAGAAGAAATACCTTATATATTGCCCCTTTTAAAAGGCGACTGGGGTTTAGGGAACCCAGTCGCCAAATCCTGGTGATGGAGAAGCACCATCCACCACCTTTTGTTAGTTGGGGGGGTGGGAAATTACACCACGAAGGCATGCTAAGAAGGCGGGAGTATTACCTTATAACCTTAATTGCTGGAAACAGCGTTCTATCTATTGATAATAAGTTACTCACTAGAAATCCATTCCGCGGCCCATGTTGTTTTATGCTTGTCGAGTCAGGGCGTATTCATATGAAACAGATAGAGAAAAAAAAAAAAAATCTGAAATGTTTCAGATTTTAAATTACGTCTAAAGGGGCGTTTTTTAACATTTTGTGTGTTACCTTTCTTTATTAAATATCATGTTCCTCGCACTTAAACCATAAGATCCAGTGCAACAGCAATATCGCAAAATAGTTTAAAACGAGCCTATCTTTAGAATTTCCGATACGAGACTCACGCGCTGGGAGATAAAAATGTTTTTTCTGCACAACGTTGCCATTGCTCGCTTGAAATCCTTGAGTTTGTTAATCAAAATTCGTCAAAGTTTTAAAAAATAGGAAATCGATCATAAAACAAATTTCAAATTTGGTCTTCCACATGCTCATATTCGTTGGAGGATTACGTTATTCAAAATTCGATGACTCTATGTACCGTTGTTTATCACACAATACGAGAAATAGACATACATTTATGCAGATTTTTCATTATTTAATTTCTTCAAATATAATGAAGGACTCTAACATTTTGTGGCAACAGTTTGAAAAGTGAACCGACATTTATGAGTCCGACGCAAAATGCCAAAACGAAACTAATAGTCCTTCGGGATTCAAATCCCTTTGGACTAAAAAAAACTGCAGACTGTCCAGAACTCTGTTCTAAGGCAGATCACAAATGCACCTTGGTACATTGGGAACAACACAATCCATGATTGAAGAACTTGGTATAGTGGAACTCGGATCCTTTATTATCACCTTGCCAAAAAATTTCACTAGAAAATGAGAACTTCCAGCAACACCGGGAGCTGAGAATTGTTAATTATAATTATAAAAAAATGCAAAGTAAAAATGGCCTGTGGTCATTTTGAACCCTGTAGTGGTTACGAAAAATTGAAGCAATAAATTTTTCTCTAAAATTTTTGTTCTCTGCTGGGATTTGCAGTTGCATCATTCTTTTTGCAGTTTTTTTCTAATCCCATTAAATTTAGTATTTGTGTATTATCCACTGTTTCCACTGCTGGAATTTTCATTTCGTACTGTTTACCTTATGTTTCATCAGCTCAACGGCTTTTTTATTTCTTAAAAAATGAGTCCTTTAAAAATATTCACTTCTCTTTTGGAATTATCTAAATTTTAATTAAATTTTTTTTAAAACTATTTCGAAACTTTAAACTTTTGTTCAGTTATGAGTATATATATTCAATTGATATTGTTCAGTATAAAGCATTAGAATAACTTCTTATATCAATGTTCCCACTGACTTCTAAAGTAAGCATTCTCTGCAAACTTAGAATCACAATGCATAAAAACATTGCTAAAATCCTCATTCAGCACTCAAAGTCTTGACAGGGTCTCTTTATTAACCACAGGTCGCAAATACATATTTTCCGAAGTAACTTTATAAATTCCGCTTCAAATTTTAATATTCTACAGAGATATTTGGCTAGGCCTAGCTAAAATAGAATGCTGCACCAGTTGAGTACAAATGCTGATAGTCGTATAACAGGAGGTACAGCAACTCAGCTGGTCTTAAGTAAGTTAAGTAATTTAGTAATAACTCTAATAAATCTTACTGTAAGTTTGCCAAAATAATAAAATAAAATACAATGAATTGATCGACATTAATGTGCGTTTAGAATAATAGTAAAATTTCAAAGTCTTATTGCTAAATTTCGCATTATATGCAGAGACAAAAGTCTAAATGCATATGAATGAAGATCTTGTCTTTGCAACCGTAACTGCAAACGTACTATAAAATGAAGCATTAGAAACTGCTTGCTTTATTGAAAGATTCTTTCACTTCGGAGTTGCGAAAATCTGGTTGTAAATGTAAGTGCTTTAGTTTCATGCTTTACATGGATGACTGGAGTAGTTTTTAAAAGTTTAATTAAATATAATTTAAATGGATACCTAGGAAATGCTTTGCTTTAATAATCTTGTTTTTGAATTGTTCGCATAAATGTATGTACAATATTCTGCATGTGCTGATGTGAAAAATTTGTAAATAGTAACTGTTGTTTTAAAACCAATAATACTCTTATTATATTTGATATCGTATATGAAAATTTAACTTTTGGACTGAGAATAAAAAAAAAAATATTTCATTTATATGAGCTGTAATGAATAAATTTTTATTTGCTAACCGACAAATTAGGTTCTAAAGCATATTTAGTAAAGCTTGCGTGTACGTAAAGTTTGATATTCGATTCCCATTCAATAACTTAAATTTGATTTGGTATAGAATTAAAATAGGCTAGACTGGAGATTACGGTCCAGTCGCCAAGTGAAGCGAAATTGCGCCAAATCTGGTAACCTCTTGGCATTAAATATGAATCAATGCTTTCGGATCATTTATTGCTTATTTACTGCTTATTACAATTTCTTAAATTTCGTGATAAAACGCTTTACTCCATTTTGCTACTGCCTTAAAAATGGTATATGATACTATGAAAACTTTTAATATTGTTGATCCTAGAAAATACATAGTTATTTCAAATACTGTAGTTAAGGTGCAGAATCACTCGCATATTTGTTTGGCACTTTTTACAAGAGTAAGAACAATTGGATTTTTGTCAGTTTTCTTTCTTTTTTAAGTGAAAATACGTCGATGTGTACATGGATAAAGTAAAGTGAGTGCGCATTGCTATTTTGTGCAATTCTGGGATTTTTTTAAGTGAAAATAGGTCGATGGTTAATCTTTGGATTATGGCAACTTGGCGATGTTTTGGCGACCAACCCTGCTACAGCAACCTGCTAGTTTTTGTTTGGACGCCATTTTATTTTTCACGAAGTAGTTTTTTTTTTTATTTTTTTACTCAACATTTTTTCCAACAATCTGCTGGCCGAATTACGCTTATGCTAGAACTTTTATGGAGCAAAAGTGCTTAATCATGACGAAGATTAGGTGCGAAATTGGAACAAAGTGCAGAATCGCCCACTGCTTGCCGCGTTTTTACGAATTCCACATACACTGTATCATCCATGTACACGTCGACCTATTTTCACTTAAAAAAACATCCCAGAATTGCACAAAAATGGCATTGCGGACACTCTTGACTATATCCATGTACACTGCTAAAGTCTTAACTAGTAACCCTTTATCGCCTTACCAAAATGTCGCCAAACTACCTGTTACCATATTCCAAAGATTAGATGGTCGATGTGTACATGGATACCGACTATGTGCAATTCTTAAAAATGCGCCAAGCAGTGGGTGATTCTGCACTTCCCCCTTTTTCGTTGTTTTACTTGAAGTCCTGTTTTAGATATTTTTGTATGTTTACAAGGTTGTTTAGATATTTTTGCTTGTATTGCGATATCATGAGTTAGCGATTTTCTAAAACGCGCGAAAATAGCCGATTTGGCGACTTGGCAATTTTTTGAAAATGCGCCAAACTGGATGTAATATCCAGTTTTACCTTGAAATATTTAAGAAATTAATATACTATTTATGAAACGTTTATAACATTTAGAATAAAAGTATTTAGAGCTTCAGTTATCCGAATAGGATCCAATTATCCGATTTTTTCCGAAGAAAGGGTTTACGTATACACTTTAACTAATTACTCTATGTACATATGTTGAAAAAGAGAGAAAAAACTATTTTTAAAGGAAAAAAAAAGGTTTTAATTAAATGAAAAGGCTTACGTGCATGTACGTGTGTATGAAAAGTCATTTGCGTAGGTGTTATATAGCGTATTGCACAGTGCTTACAAGTGCTGAAAGGTATTGCTTGATGAACATCTCGGTCTAAGTAACCTGTTTGATGGACACCGTGCCTGCATTTAAAATTTGTTAACCAGCCGTCACTGGCTTTAAAGGATGAACAACCAGGCTTCTCAGCTTTTTCATAAAGAATCGGACCCGAAATTGAGTTTCTCATAAAATGCTGCTTCAAAATCCACTTGAAACCGACATCTTTTAAATTTTTGTTTGTTACTGCATTGATTTTCTTGAAAAACTTCCATCTTCGTTTCCGAGCAGTGACGTGAAGTTTACAAGAGTAGGTTTGCTCCTTTTAATGTCTGAAATCGTTGACTGTCCAATACAATGTTTCAGTATTAATTTTTTTATTAAATCCTCAAAGCGGTTCGGATAATAAGCCATTTTGATAGTCTTTGTTCGGATAGTTGGAGTAGTACTGTATTTTTACGTGTTTTGTCTTTAAAGCAAGAAGTGAATAATATCCGGTTAAGGTCTTCAAATTTTCAGGAACTAAAGCGTTAGCTAGTAGCATATACATGCATGTAAGATAAAAAAAATCTCATGTTTACACCACATGATTTCCTTGTACGGAATATTAAATTATACGCATTTTTTCTTTAATTTCATGTAAATTGATTGAATTGAATTAAATCTACTTCGTCGACAGCGCATAAACCACAATAGAATAAATGCACTCTTTAAAATTCATTATATTTGTTTACTATATAAACACTCTTGTCTTGTCTTTTGTCTTTTGAATGGTTAGGAGGCAATTAGCAGCCTCTGCTGCTTTAACCACCGCTTTTGAAAAAAAATGCCCTTAGGCGTTGGTATATATAATTGCAAAAATGGGCGTGTAACGCCGCGCCTACTAGGCGAAGCTGAAGCAAATACAAAGGTATGTAGAGTGAAAAAGCATCTGGGAGCTGTTCGAGCTGTGACGAAAGATATAACTAGCTGAAAAGTTTGCTTAATAAAGCATTTGAAAAAATAAACATTAAGTAATTTAATTAAGTATGCTTTTGAACAGGTTCAGAATGAAATGGATCGTAATTATATTGGTGGGAGTGGCTTCAAATGAGGAATAAGTCAACAGTAAACATATTTCTGGTGAATTTCAAGAGTTCTCGTACGAGAAATGTTAAAGTCATATAAATTAACAGTATTCACAAACAGTTCACACTGTACAAAAGTTCTGGAATAAAAACACACTTTTTTTAAGAAACACTTGTAATTTTAAGACACAATATTTCAGCATAAGTCACAGTTTAGAAGGCGGGATGGTGAAAACACACATAATTAAGTCAGTTTGTCTGTCCCTAACAGTCTTTTTATAGGAACACTAATAAAATATAAAATTCTTGAAAATAATGATATAAAGTAGTAATCCACTGAGCTTTTTTAAGTCCTAAATAAGTTGAAAAAAACACAAGTCTCTAGTGGGAAAATATTTACAGTATGTACAGCTATTTACAAGTTTCACCACCTTGGATTATGAAAAATGCTCCTAGGACGCTTAGCAGCATTTTCAAGTGTTGGATCATAATTGATTAGTTCCTCAATATGATCATATTGAGACTGTTCAATTTTACTATAAAAGTTGTGGCAGCTTGAAATAATTTGGTCAGCAATTGGTCTGATTTTTAATTCTTTGTGTATTTGCAAATTTCTAACGAACCAAGGAGAATTAACTATTTCTCTTAGAATCTTGTTTTGAAAGACTTGTAACTGTGTCTGTACGTTTTTGAACACTGTAGCCCATATGGGAATTGCGTAAAGTAGTCAGTCTAATCAGCATCATGTAAACTCTTTTCTTTAATTGAATGTTTAATTTTGAGTCTCTTTTGATGAGAGGGTACAGAGCCATTTTTGCGACTGTAGCTTTCCGTAAGGCATATATGCAGTCTGTTCCTTGAAGAGGAGTTGTGAATCGAAAATGACACCAGGTATTTAGTAGTATTGACGACGGGGGGAGTGGCTGATTTCTATCTTTATATTTACGTTTACTGGAGTAAATTTTTCTATACCTTCTAAAGAGCAGAATTTGACATTTAGCCGGATTGACTTTAAGTTTCCAAGATTTGAGGTAATGGTGCGATTGTAACTGATTCTTCTAATTTGTCTACGGCAAAACTGGTTTTAAAGATTTTGTAAAAATAGCGGTGTCATCTGCATATTTCACAAGTTTTGAATTTAGTGGGATTGGCATATCATTAGTAAAGATATTAAAGAGAATTGGCCCCAAAACACTTCCCTGGGCGACGCCGCTTTTGATTCTTTTTCTTGAGGATAAAGTGTTATTGATTTTGACATGAAAATTGCGATTTTTTTAGATAACTTTGCATTAGTTTGATAAATTTATAGGCAGATGAGCAAGGTGTAGCTTAAAGAGGAGTCCCTCATGCCACACCTTGTCAAATGCCTTTTCTAAAATCTAGGAAACGCTTGAAATAGTTTTTTTTTTTGGAAAAGGAATCAGCAATAAATTCATAACATTGAGAGTTGATGTACTGTGCTATGCTGTGGGTGAAAACCAAACTGTTCGTTTTGAATTATCCCTCTACCTTCCAAGTGTCTAGTCAGCCGTTTCTGTAGAACTCGCTCAAAAACTTTGCTAAGGCTTGGAAGCAAGGCTAATTGGGCGATAAGAGTTAACATTTTTTGAATCTCTGCCGGGTTTAACAAAAGTAATGATATGTGCCATTTTCCACTGCTGAAGAAAATAGTTAAGCCTTATGCAGGCATTAATTATGTTGGTAATTACGGACAATATATCTCTTGGGGAGAATTTTCAGCACTTTATTTGTTATCCCGTCGTAGCCGGGGGCCTTTCTATTTTTTCAGATTTTTTATGTTTTGAATTTCAATGGGCGAGGTGTAATCAATATGCTGTCCATCTGTTTCTATCAGGAAGGTGAATAATGAAATTAAAAATTCCTCTTCGTATCTTATTTGTGAGTTTTGTCGTGAAGGTTTTTCAAGATGTGTTGGCAAGAACTTCTGCCATATCTTTTTAGAATATGAGATTCCAGTATCGGTGTGCAACGGTCCAATGTTGTCGCTGAGTTTTTCTGAGCGCTTTCCCAATACGCCACACGTATCAGGGTTGAAGTCCATTGAGTCTAATAAATTATTCCAACTATCAGATCTGTATTCACTTAGAAGATTTTAATATTCCTATTTTTTCTGTTAAGAATTCTTTGATATTAGGATCAGCAGTACGGCGCCAAATTTTAGCGGTGCGATTTTTGTCCTTAATTTTGTCAATAATGTCATCCGGAAGTTTTCTTTTTTTATGTTCTTCATATTTAGTAGATTTGTCAAGAGCACTTTTATACAATTATTGACCTTAGTGATTTGATACTCAATGTCAGTAATATCGGTTAAAGCAGGATGCGCTGGTAGTTTTCCAGAGAATGAATGAATTTATCCCAGTTTGTGATTTTTCTAAGTGGAATATTTTTTCAAAGCCGTAATAAGTAAATCTGACAGGGAGATGATCGGAAGTTAGCTGGTGTGAAACTTGTAGGAAGGGAATTTGTGCAATATTTTTTGTGATAACAATATCAAGAACTTCAGCGCTGCCAGTATGGCTGTATCTGGTGGGATCCGTTGGTCCAAAGATACTTAAATCATTATATAAACACTCTGAATGCACAAAATTTATATCATTTGAAGAATTTTCGTTGCCACATGTTCTATTCTAACACTATAATAAAGCTAAAACGATGTATGAAAGAAATTAAGTAAACAAAACAGAAGGGAAACAGTTCTTCACATACGATTTAGTATTTCTCATTCAATTAATTCAGTTCTCACTTCGCGACAAGGCAAAAATACATAAAAAACTCAAAATATCTGCATTAAAAATTACGAAGTAAATTTTAAATACTTATTTCCTCGAAAAAATTCCAGAAAGGATTAAGCATGATTTTAATTGGCAGTAATAAATGAAGGCGTTATTTTTGTGTTGCGAAGCTTAGTCTCTCTAGATTGGCAACAAATCTACAATTCTGCTGTTTAAAATGTAAACAAATATGTCCGCCATGTTATTTAAAACTTAACCGTACTTAAACAGCTGTTAAATTGTTGATAATTGTACAAATATTGCTTCCAGAATTACGAAAGGCATAAAAACCTTAACCGGAAGATAAAAACAACATAATTCAATCATTTTTAAAAGCAAAAAATGTACAATTTACAAGCATATAAGAGTAAAGAACTGAGATCACTGAGCCGAGTAATAGAGTGGATATATATATATAAATATACTTCTATACGTTTGGTGCGGCCAGTTGCAACGAAAATACGAGGTGCACATCTACATGTTATAGCAGTCCTATATACAAAATTTCAACGTTCTGAGGCTACTCGTTTTTGAGTTATGCGAGATACGTACGTACAGACGCCACGAAAAATTCTCTTCAGAATTAATTTTAAAGCAATTTTATAATTTTTTTGGAGGAAAAGAGTCTTTTATTCTGTTCTTACGTACAGATATCACGCAAAAACATCGTTAAATTGCATTCGATGGCGGTCAAAATCGATATTTTCGTTGAAATATGTTGCCTGAAACTTTTCGCGATTACAATACTTCCTTTTTACTTCGTACAAGGAAGTAAAAATGTATAAGATAAATTATAATTAGTAATAGCCTCCTAAATCTTAATTTTCCCTCTCCATTCAAAAAAATAAGATTTTACACTGCGTCATTTCGAGGCTAATCCATGTCTTATAACTCTTACAGTGAAGTAATTACGGCTTTGACCAAATTGTTTCTTCGTAAGTCTCACTGTTAAACAAAATTTAATACCAGAATAGCCTTTTTTTATACATTGTTAATGGCATGCATCAAATTTCTCATACATTTATTCCTGAATTATGCATTTTGAGTTGATTTTCTGTTTCTCTTACCCATTTCCATATATGAGCAGTAATAGTACACTGCAAAGGGGGGACAGTTCTATATCGCCGGTTCTACTGAGCCGATTGGAGAAGTTAAACTTGCGGTTTTCATGTTTCGAAAGCACGATATATGATATGTATTAGATTTATATACAGCATTGTTCTAGTATAAGTAATTTGACACAAAATCTCACTTTTTCTGAAATGACATGGCAATTGTTTTCCATATTTTGATTCTACTGCTCAAATTATGCCACACTCAAGTTTTCCCACTCCTCAATGTTAATTGAATTTGGTATATATTTAATCATCTCTTTTTATTAAACTTACTTGATTGCTTCTTCCAGAATTCGAAATCTAGGCATAATCCAAATATAATTGAACTATTTTTTTTGTGGTTTGTTTTTAAATATTTCTATAAATTTTTTAAAAAATTTTTGCATTTTAACTTCATTTAACTTCATTTATTTTGCAGTTTAAATTAAATTTTTAACATCTTAAGGTAATGCAATTCTAGGCGCACCTACAAAAAATTTAATATAATTAATTCTAGGCGCACCTACAAAAAATTCAAATTTTCTAAGAGTTGTTCAAAATTTTCTAAGATGTATTCGAGTTTACATATTGGCCTGTTTTGAAATTTGGCATCTTTTTCTTTTTGAGAGAGGTAGTAATGACAAAAGTGATTTACGCACTTTGTTAAAATTATTTGAAAGTATGAATGATGACTTTCCCGCTCTGCTACAATGAATAAAAGGAAAGGAAAATACGTTACTATAAATTTTGCAGTACGCCAAGTACACTCATGTCCGTAAATTAAGGATAATTCGGAGTCGCGCGGAAATCAAACTCTAAAATATATCGCCTGTAAAATTACTACACACATCTTCAAAAATCATGTGCAAATTTCAGGAAGTAACCCGATGACACCGATGGTACGTCACAATGACGAGAGTGATATATAAGGAATACAGGCAAAGAGGAAGTAAAATTGTTCGTAGGCGCTTTATAAGCATTTCAGTGCAATAACCGAATAGTTATGACGCAAAGGACGCATTTGGATGATTTTTTATGTGGTAGAATTATCGGGCGAACTTGGAATTGCCCAGAGTGTCATCTCCACGCTTTGGCAACGATTCCAAGATGATGGTAATGTGAATAGACGTTACAGCACAGGTCGCCCCAGAGTTACAACGCCGAATGAGGACCGTTATTTGGCATTTGCTGCCAAAAGAAACAGGCGGAGCACATCCTCAGACCTGTCACGTTAGCTGTCTTCAGCCACTGGTACGACAATTTCAAGGCAGACCGTGTACAGACGCTTAGGGCAGATTGGTCTATATGCTTGTAGACCTGTCAGATGCGTTCTACTTACTGCAACTCACTCTCGCCTGCGGTTAGCCTGGAGGTGCTCGTTTGCAGTGGAATTATTCTGGTTTCCAGAACTGACCTGCATGTTCAAATTGTAACCATGAGAAAACAAATCTGTTGGGACGTTATTCTGGAACAACATGTACGTTTGTTTCGGGGCGCCATGGGCGCACAATTTGTGTTTATGGATGACTATGCCCGTCCTCACCGTGCAAACATCGTAAGCAAATGCCTTCAATCGGAGGATATCACCCGTATGGACTGGCCAGCATTCTCACCGGACTTGAATCCAGTAAAGCACGTGTGAGACATGCCTGGCCGACGAGTTGCAGCTCGTCAACCTCCTCCTAGATGTCTACCGGAACGTCCGATAGCATTGTTTTTGAGTGGTGTAATATCCCCCAAGATCAGATCGATAATTTGATACTCAGCATGCCTAGACGTTGTACGGACTGTATTGCATAGTCTGGGAGGCATACAATGTATTAACAACCATGAAATATTGGTTTTTTGTAAATAGGTGTTTTTTGTAATTTGCTCCAGGGAGAACAAATCGCTAATTTTTTTAATAATATCAAACATGTAGCATCTTTTTTGCTCTTTTCCTTTTGTTTAATAAATAAGCTTTACAAATAAGTCAAATTTGTTTAGCTTCTAACTCTTTTGCCTGATTTCGCATTATTCTAAATTTATGGGCATAAGTGTAAATTATTCTTGGCTCAAAATGAAAAAAAATGCACAAAGGTAAATTTTTGAATTTCTTTGTATATTTCGTACCGATATTTAATATTCAGGCATAATTTGAGTCGTAGAATCTAAATATGGAAAAAAAATACTATGTCGTTTCAGAAAAAGTACTATTTTGTGTTAAAATACCTATGTTAGAATAATGCCATATATATATATATAAAGTCGCGCTTTCAAGACTCGAAAAATTAAGTTTGATTTTTATCAATCAGGCCAGTAAGACGGGAGGTGTACAACTGTCCCATTTTTTCCCCACAGTGTACAACTGTCCCATTTTTTTGCCCACAGTGTACATCTTTCAAAAGCTTTTAACTTTATGATAAGCAAATTTGTTTCAATTTTATTTTCAGAATTTTAAGCTTGTGCCAGTTTTCGTACCAGAAGATGGCTGAAATGTTCCCTAAAATCCTGAAAGAATTCGTCCTATTTGGCATTTTTATTCTACAGATTTTTCTCATTACCAAAACGACATGTTGTCGAGCAATCCCACATTCCCGTGGAAGTAAGTGAAAATTTAATACCTGCATCTGGTCAGTATCTTTAGATACAGACTATAACCATTCTTAGCATTACAGAAATTACTTGCACACTACTAAGCTAGTATGAGAAATTAATTCTCTAAATTAATTACTGATTTGGTGTTCGTAAGCTGATTAGTTGAGTATATCTCTGTTTTGTTTCCTTCAGTAATGAGAAAATTTGTTTCCGTTAAGATATTTGGTACTATTCCGTTTTGAGGACCGTAAAAAATCGCCAAACTATTGTTGATGCCAGTGCTGTCAAACATAATTGCGGCAACCCTAACGCAAGAAAAGTATAACAATAGTAAATAACTAAGATTAATTTTGATTTAATTTAGATAAAAGGTTAATTTCATATACTTTATTATTATAATTTGTTTAAAGAATAAACATAACAGAATGGAAGCATAAGAGTGAATAACTATTTCAGATCATTATCATTTATATAAAAAAGCTAAATAATACTGAGTGGATTCCTGCATCGCTATTTCGCTACTGATTTATCGCTTAAGTATTAATTCATCTCGTTGGTTGTTCAAACATAATTTTCTATAATGAATGATGCCTTTTCTTTGAAAAATTTCTATTGCAGACTTTTTGTTACTGGGCACCACCCAAATTGTTAAATCCACAGCGTTATCGAAAATGGATTTAAAAATTAAACTAGTACTTCATTGGCGTCATAAGAAATATAGAACTATCTGAACTTACGCAGTTTGAAAGCAGCGTCTGCGCTAGATTTGGCGCGCTGTTAAATGGTCGCGTATGCTAGATTTGGCGCTTCTGCGCATACCTTTTTCTGCAATTTTTTTACGGTCTTCAAAACTGAATAGTACCAGATATTTGTGAAATGATTTTTATAATAGTAAGTAAATAATGCTTGTATACTTTCCTAATAAATGCTGGGCCACTAAAGGTTGTGTAACTAAAGCTTAGAAGTATAATTTTTTGTTCCCAAGCTCCAGTTTCGAGACTTGAAGAATTTTACAGTCGCGAGATGTGAGAAATTAAGCTTTTAAACTTCATAGATCCATTTCTCTTTTAAAACTCGTTCATGAATCTTTTTGTTTTCCTAAGTAGAGCGTCGTTGCTAACTTTGAGACTTGTAGTAGGTTAACGCTGGAAATAAATTCATTGACTATTTCGTTAAAATATATTCATACTTTGAAATCTTCACTTTACTCTCAAGCCGTTAACTCAATGCTCGAATGTGTGCGTCGTACGTTCTTTAAATGCCGTTTTCTTTTTAGCCCAAACGACGCTAGCCGTGAAGAGCTATTGATTTAGTTTCGGCATTTACCGTTGAAAACTTTAAGACTGTTTCACTTTTCAAATTATTTGCCTCCACATAATATCGGCACGTATTATATTTAAAGAAAACAAATAATGTAGAAACTGCATGATTGCATGACTATTTCTCCGCATTGTGAAGAAACAAAGGTACCTAGAGCCATCAAATTTTGAATAGCGTAATCCTCCACCCGAATATCGGCATCTGGAAGCCGAATTTGGAATTTTTTTATTATCTATTTCACATTTTGCAAAACTTTAACAAATCTTTGATTAACGAATTCTAAGATTTCAAAGTGAGCAATGGCACGCCAGACTCTAGCGCGCCAGACAGTGTATCGAAAATTCTAAAGATATGCTGTCTTTAAATATTTTGTGACATTATCTTTGAATTGAATTTTATGTCTTAAGTGCCGAGAACATATTTAATCAATAAAGGTACTACACAAAACGTTTGTAACAGAACTCTCCTCGCCAAATATGGCTGGGGACCGCTATAACAGGGAAGTATCGGAAATCCTTTAGCTTCGTAGTCTTGGTTTTTGCAGTTCTTAAACGTTCTTCCTCAATCTGTACTATTCAATTTTTAATTTCTTGATTGCGCATTGTGAAGACCTATTCTGGAGACTTAAAATCATTTTAAAGAACAACATTACTCGGAGTAGTACACTCAAAGGTATCGAGTGAACGTTTATAAACTCGATAATTTGTAATGTATATTGTCGAACAGCTAATGTTTAAAAGGATATGCGTTGAGTTTTTGTATGTAATGTTTATACTAGCTTTTGTTACATATACGGCTATAGTATATATTTCATATATGGCTTTAGTTCCGTTAACCTTTTCGGTACTATTCGGTTTCGAGGGCCGTAAAAAAATTGCAGCGAAAATGTGCGCGCAAAAGCGCCAAATCTAACAACGTGCCCATTTAACAGCGCGCCAAATCTAGCGTACGCGCTGATTTCAGATTGCGTAAGTTTATGTAGTTCTATATTTCTTAAGATGCCATTGAAATACTAGTTTAATTTTTAAATCCTTTTTTGATAGCCCATGGATTTAACAATTTGGGAATTGCCCATGATGAAAACTCGGCAATAGAATTTTGGGTAAAGTGCAGAATCACCCACTGTTTTTAAAAAAGTTTTTACTTTAAGATTGATTTCGAAGAAACATCCACCACTCGCCAATTTTTCACTTTGAAGAATTGGTCATTTTCCTTGAACTGAAGTCTCAATTGTGTCAATTTTTTCAATTTCCTTGAACTGAAGTCTTATATTAAAGACTTAAAAAGCGCTTTTAAGAATTGCACATACTCGGTATCCATGTGCACATCGACCTATTTTCACTTAAAAAAAAAAAAAAAATCCTAGAATTGCACAGAAAAAGCACTGCACACACCCTTGACTTTATCTATATACACATCGACCTATTTTCACTTAAAAAGTAAAAGAAAATTGACAAAAATCCAATTGTTTTTACCCTTGTAAAAAGCAGCAAACAAATAACTGAGCGATTCTGCACTTTACCGAGAATATTTTCAAAGAAATGGCATCATTCATTATAGAAAATTACGTTTGAACAACCAACGAAATGGAATTATGCTTAGTGATAAGTTGGTGGCAAAAATAGCGATGCAGGCATCCATTCAGTTATGTTTTTAGCAATTTTTTATATAAATTATAATTAATGATCTGAAATAGTTATTGACTCTTATGCTTCCATTCAGCCATGCTTAACCCTTTTTTTATATAATTATAATTATAAAAAAGTATTATATGAAATTAACCTTTCATCTAAATTAAAACATCAATCTTAGATAGTTATTTACTAGTATACTTCCTTTCTTGCCGCAATTATTTTTGGCAGCATTGGCATCAACAATAGTTTAGCGATTTTTTACGGCCCTCGAAACCGAATAGTACCACATTTTCACACGAAATCCGCATGCTTTCTGAGAAGCAAACTGTTTGAATGCTTCATTCTGTTACCTTTTTAGAGCTGTCAAATAAGTCTTTAATATAAGACTTCAGTTCAAGGAAATTGAAAAAATTGACACAATTGAGACTTCAGTTCAAGGAAAATGACCAATTCTTCAAAGTGAAAAATTGGCGAGTGGTGGATGTTTCTTCGAAATCAATCTTAAAGTAAAAACTTTTTTATATGATGATAGTTTTTCTCGTAACATTCGAGGATTTCAAGAGTTCAGCTCTACGGTTTTTTTAGAATGCGGAATCTTCTGCATTCGCTTCCGAATAAAAATTCTTTGGTCTAAAATTTTAAACAGCATAACTCTGGTGGTTAGCCTCGAGTTAGTCCCAGAGAACGAGTCAGCCGCTTAAGATTTTCGTGAGCTCTCTTCTACGTAATCTCTCGCATGTTTATCAGTACTCCTTAAAAATAACAGATGTAAAGTCTCTGAACGCTAGTAGTTCAGTCTGGGGTTTGATTCTGTGCCAATGGCCTGACTGCATGGGCATTTTCATAGTTTTCCTTATGTGCAACATATGTACGAGATAATTTCCATTCGAAAGTCCTTTACGAAGGCTCCCTCCTCTTAGGCACATAGCCCGCGAGTGCTTTGTTTGAATTAAGCCAAACCTCAAAAATTATCTCAGAAGTATACTTTCTGATAATCCTTAAAGGCCTTGTAATTAAAAAATCACTTCCATCATTACTAGGCCCACCAGCGGCCGAGCGGTAAAATCGCTGAACGCCTAGTAGTTCGGTCCGAGGTTCGAATCTCGCGAACGGGCTGGCTGCATGGGCGGTTTCGTGGTTTTCCCCATGTGTAACGTGTATACGAGCCATTTTCCCTTGTCGAGTCCTCCACGAAGGCATCCCTCCCCTTAGGCAAATAGCCCTATTCTGCTTTGCCATAATTAAATAAACCAAACCAAATCCATCATTCCTAGGACCCACCAACAGCCGAGGGGTAAAATTACTGAACACTGGTAGTTCGATCTGATGTTCGAATCTCGGGAATGGGTTGGCTGCATGGGCGTCTTCGTATTTTCCCCATGTGTAACGTATATACTAACCAGTTTCCCTTAAGTCCTCCACGAAGACATCCCTCCCCTTAGGCATAGAACCCTCGAGGCTCTGCCGTAATCGCATAAATCACACCAAACCAATCCATCATTGCTATTGAGTAGATTTAAGAGGTCGTGGTATCTAAAATCGATACATCGATTTTTCAGTTTTTGCTAAAAAAGTACTTTATTTTTCCAAAACTTTTTACGTAAAAATATACTTTTTTTTTTCTCAAACTAATTCAGTAATTGCAAAATCGATCCTTAAAGTTATTAAGAAGACTGATGAACATAATAAAAAATGTGAGGGGAAAACATTCAAAGTGGTAGTAGAAAGACATTTTAATTGTTAAATTTTTCAACACATTTAAATTAAACATTTTTTGCTAGTTTTTTTTTTTTTTTTTTAGCTTAAAATCATTGTCTTAAAAGATCATTTAGTTATATTAACAAAAATTAGATGAAAGTTCCTTAATAATAATAATAATCATTCAAAAAGTAACGAGCCCTCTTAAAAACTCGGGTTAAGTATTCCTTTCTCATTCTCTATTTTGCAATTAATTGCAATAATTTAAATCTCCATTTGCAACTGATAAAATTACTTTTAATTTTTATGAACACGCCGTGCATCTCTTTCTGACCTATTTCAAAATTATAAGCATACATTTTTATTTGTTTTCTTGTGTTTATAATAAGTAATTTCTAATTTATACACACCATTTCATTTCAGATATGACAGAAGACTTTGATACAGAAGTCGGTTCACCGATACGAATTAGATGCACTCTATTTCGTACTCAACTAAAGCTTAAGAATTCGACCTTCAACGTGTCTTCTAAAAATCTACTGATACAGCATTTTGAAAAAACACTGGACAACGTCGTTAGCTTGGACGAACGTACCATAGAATATTTTAATCCAATCGCCTTTGCTAATGACACAGGATGCTATGCCTGCTATGTGTCTGTTCCTAGCGCCAAAACCAAGAGATTTGTATGTTCTACATATATCTATGTTCACAGTTAGTATTTGCTTTGATCTTAGCCAAAAGGCCGTATTTGCAAGTTTGTATAATAAGACGATAATCTTTCACGAAAATGGGCAATATGTGTTCTAATTCAGTTTCCTATAACACTATAAAACTGACTGTGTTAAGATTCCTGTTCTAATTATGTATTAAATTTTACGAAAGCTGACTGTTATTTAAATAGGTAAAAGATGGCTGCAATTACTTGTAGGAATATTAAAGAAAATTTACGTATCTTTTGTTGCTTGTCTAAACCCATTCCACTTGCAGACATCAAAGGGTTTGTCAAAAGCAAAATTCTCAGCAAATGGCAGAAGCAATGGGATGATAAAGTATATAACAAGCTGAGAAATGTAAAACCCACCATTGGATACTGGCCATGTATGGCTAATAGAAAGGGGGATGTCCTCTTGACTCGACTGAGAATTGGCCATTGTCGCCTGACCTATGAGTATCTTCTGAAAGAAGAAGAGAATCCCAGCTGCCCAAACTGCAATGCAGATATGACGGTCCATCATATCTTGGTGGAATGCCACAGTTTTAATTATTTTCGCCAAAAACATTTTAATTGTTCAGAACTGGACTTTGGAAATTTAATTGGAAAATTGTTTCTGTTTTTAAAAGATATTGGCTTTTATAATAGACTTTAACCTGTTTTTTAAAAGATATCAGCTTTTATCATAGATTGTAATCTGTCTCTTTTTACCTAAGCTGGAAGTTTTTACAAATGACTAATTGCATTGTTACCATTTGTCTGGCGCAGATAACCTTGACAGGTGTTGTGCCAATTTACAATAATCCAATTCAATTGTCTAAACCCCTCCCCCCAGTTACGAATGGATGAGACCGTTGGACGCTGGATCATTACACGAGTGTATTCATGCTTTGTCTATGTTTTATTAAAGATTTTAAGAGCTTTCTTTCTCTCAAGCCCTCACTTGCTTTGTCTTGAGCAACTAACATAACTTTCACCATGTGTTTTTAAAAAATGTTAGATACTTATGAATTTTTTTGTAGGACATGAAAAGCAGTTTGGTGGACTATAACATAAGTAATCAACTTTTTAACATTGAAAAATACTAAATCCTGTTTAAAAGCTAAGCTGACATTAGGCACTAACGTGTAATCATTTGAAAGTTTCGCTTAATTGTTAACAATTGTACATTAATAGAATGAAGACAAAATAATAGCTTAGAATATTAAATAGAATTAATAGACGCTAATAATATAATTAGAAAATTAATAGAATGAAGACAAAATAATAGGAATTTAAAGCCCCCAGTTTGTCGAAAACTACGGTTCTGTTTTCAGTGCCAGGTGCAGAAATGTATGTATATCCCCAGTTTGTCGAAAACTACTGTTCTGTTTTCAGTGCCAGGTGCAGTAATGTATGTATATATGGACGTGTTACTGTACGCAAATGTATATATGTACATGCATATGTATCTGTGTGTGCATACATAAACTTCTGAATTCGGTCCTGATAACAGAAGAGTACCACGTTGGCTTTTATTATTCATGCTAAATTTCTTACAAATTACGTTTGATATTAGTTGCCTAAGGCTTCTTAAATATTTCGGTATCGTACCAATCACTTCAAAGTTGGCATATTAATATTCTACATTTCAGGTATAACAAAAATTAGTTTTTTGAACTTTAACTGAAAACTCGGACGCACGGGCACGACAGCTAACACATATTTAACATCCTCTCGCACCAATTCGCTTAATTAAAACAGGCTGTCACAGAACTCGTTCTTATTCTACTTGATCTTCTGGTACACTGTGACAGCGTAATTTACTCATTTAGAAAAAGGATCTTATGTCACAATAGAAATTTTTATGGTCACAGGAAGAACATTTAACTTCTTATCCTTTCTCTCGCATGAATTAGACACTACAAATAATGCAACGTCTTATCTCCTGATAGCTCGTGGACCTTTTCGTGGCCTACTTATTGGGCTACATTAACAGACAGATGCATTTTTACCTTATCAGGTGCATTGGATCACTACTTTTTCAGCGTCTAATATGCAAAGATCTACATTTTTGGACAACAGCAAACAAACAATGCACGTGAATGGTGGTTTCAGCAGATTTTTAGGAATAAATCTTTCCAGAAGCTTCAGGCTCTAATGAACTATCTTATTATAAACAGCGACAATCTAATTTTTAGCTATTAATGTCGATAGAAGTCACAAAAGTGGCTTGTAAACTTAATAATAGTTTTACTTTTGTAATATTTTATTATTTTTTATTATTTGTTTATTATTTAGTTCGTTATTTTACTAGTTTCATTTTTATAACATTATTTGATTTTGTTAAATAATTTCTCAACTGTTTAATTTTTTCAAAATTCGCAAATTTCTTTCTCAGAATCTCGGAACTTATGCCAAAATTATCGACTAACAACTCTGCTCAGCAACTTTGCATTACTCTTGCTAAAATATTCTATAACAGTGCTTTAATTTGTCAAAACTTTTAGCGTCAAAATCCTTTATAATAACTATACTGTAACCGTAACGAAATTTTATACCGAGTACTTTACATCAAAATCTCTAAAATGTAATATTCTTTGTAACAGTGTAACATTCTTTGTTAAAGGTGTAAAAAAAAATTCTCTAACATTTATATCGCCACTATTTGGAAATTTTATACTCAAAGCAAATCTTTTTTTAGTGAAAGTCACTAAAAGAGTAGAAAAAGCTGAACGTTTTTCACACGGAACAGAAAGTAAACAAAAGATAATGTTAACGGTAAAACATCACCAATGTACTAATTTATATTATTTTTTAGATTTTATTTTAAATCAAACAGCCAGAATGTTTTGAGTTCTTAATTTTGCAATTTTATTGCAAAAATAAAAACTCGAAATTATGTTTTGGTCTTAATGTTGCAGGTCGGTGGTATATACTTCTGGCATGAAGAGATAATTGTGTGAATGTTTAGTAGAGTATCAAAACGTTTTTGAAGAAAATAGATTGCTGAACATCTGTGGGTGTTACTTCCTTTACCACTTTACTTTAGCTGTTTATTTAATTTAAAAAAATTGGGTTGGATGTTTGCTGCTCGCCATTAATTAGAAGAACTCAAAGCTTTATTGAAAAATTATATTTCTTCCATTTCAAATTAACAGATATTACATTGAGTTAAAGGTCTCGCTGAATCAATGATACTAATATTACAATGCTAAATTGACAATGTCATCTATACAATAATTGTTGCATAATAATCCGTATGAAAAATAAATGCAATCAATTATTACTTTGTCATGGATAGGATCTATGTTGTGGAGTATGTATATTAACCAGTTTTTAAGTCTGTCTTCTTTCATGCGTCATAACTTCCTGTTCTTATCAGTTACACACCTAATGATGTGTGTCCGTATTATTGTTGCAGTTATCCCCAGAGTAGGCCAGCAATATCAGTTCAGGCAATTGATAGTTCCGTAGTCCAAAGTATATGATGTTGTATAGACTATTCCATGTTCATAGAAACTAGATTCCAAGTTAACTTTTGATAAATTCGAAGTGCACTTTTGTTAAGTTCATTGTTCACGTAAATACTTGTCCATTTCGGTACATCATAACTTCGTGTCCTTAACAGTTTGCACACCTCATTATGTGTGTCCATAGCAATTTGCACACTGTGTCGCAGTTATCCACAAAGCAATCACGAAATGGCAGTTGGGAAGTTCATTGTAATATGTACAGTATTTTACTATTATCCCCAGAAGCAAATGTTTTGTAAATAATAACTTGGCTCTCAGATGATAAGAAAAAGGAAAGAAAACTAATTAATTTTTTTTCAATACAATTCTAAATTATGCAAAACTACAGATTTGTTATACAATTCCAGTCTATACAAATTGACTGGTATTCCAACAATATAAAGCACATATTCTAAAAAATGGTATTTATTCAATTACATGTATCCAATTCTTTATAAAAATAGTCGTTAGTGACCCTGACTGTTGTAGTGATGGGCCCGGGTTCGAATCCCGGAGAAGGCATGGTTGTAACTGTCCGTCTCTTTATAGGATGCAACAGTGGCTACCTGTTAAGTGCTTCCATAATGAAATGGCACCACTTCTGGCCCTTGTAGTGGCGCAAAGCTAATGGCTATTGAATAAAGCGCTCGGCCATTAAAAAAAAAAAAAAAAAAAAAAAACGGAGTGAAAGAATTTCATCGTGAATATCACGCTGTTAAGATAACTGAAAAAGAGACTGATAGATTTAATAATTGAAGTCTGTTTTATTTAGAGCTCAACTTCGGTTCGTAACAAGTGTTAGCATTTCAAACAATTTAAAAAAAAAAATGGGAAAAGGGTTCCTTAAGCGACAAGGAAACTATGCGCATAAAAATTCTTGAGTTTGCACCATAAAATAAAGCAAGAAAGAATTCAAATAAATCATTTGGAAGAAATTACGACTATCGCTTCTAGGTTTTATTCGTTTCCCTCAAATCTTCAGTCTTGTTCTTGGGACACCAGCGGCCAAGCGGTAAAGTCGTTGAACACTGGTAGTTCGGTCCGAGATTCGAATCCCGTGAACGAGCTGGCTGCAGGTGCATTTCAGTGATTTTCTCCATGTGTATACGAGCCAGTTTCCCTTAGAAAGTCCTCTACGAAGGCATCCTTCCGCTAGGCAGATAGCCCTCGAGGCTTTCAAGAAACCAAACCAACTATCTTTTTCTCAAATACTTCAGATGAAAACGAAAACATTTATTTCTGAGAAAAACGTGTGCAATAGTAATATTAACTTCTCAAACTTCAACAATTCATGTAATTTGTGCAGGTTATTGAAGGCTGATTATAGTATTTAATTACACCATCAGAGTTTTGAAATCTTAATCCAAACAAAGATTTGAATCTTAATTATGTATCGGAAAACAGTGTCTGTGTATTGTGCAGTGTCTGTGAAAACTGATCGTCTGAAATGTTCCTTTGTTCACTCTGTCACAGTACGATTTTTAGATGCAAGAAATAAAACTCAATGTTGTAGAAACATAGCATTCTACTTTCCAACTAGTTCCTGAGCTGATTTGTGCTGATTATACTGTTTTCACAAATACGCCACTTAACGATTTTCATCCGTGACTACCAAAATTGGGAGGTAATGTTTTAAGCACGGGTACAATTGTTGCTTCCTCTCAAACACAGTGCGCTAAGAGGAAGGGGCTCCCAGACCTAGCACGTGGCTGCCCTAACACAGTTATAGGTCTGAATGAATTGGCGATCCAAGGGACCGCTAACCAGTTGTCGAGCCAAGCATAAGCCGAGTCGACAACCATACTCAGCAACTCACGTTCCACGTCCCCGACCTGGAGGGAATCTAAGAAATCTTCCCATCAAAAGGGGCCTCGATCCCGGACAAGCAGAACTAAGTCACTTAAACATTGGTCACCAATCCGGCCTGTTAACATTACGTCACAGTACACACGTCGTTCCAGGCGCCCGCCCCCAGGGGGGGGAAGGATATGAATATGCAGTTTTGAGGCTCCAGGCGCTCACTGGAACACTCAAGCAGTCTAAAGGCTCGCCGAAAGCGCCGACTTTACCGACGAGTGTGGTTTCCTCCGGACAACTACGTATATCTCGCTATATAGCTCCACCACAACCAACGAAACCGGACAAGACAATAACCATACGGTTCCTGTCGAACCCGAACCAGCCATCGCCAGCAATGGTTCTACTCCTTTGAAGACTGATCTTATATCCCAGTGGCCAAGACTACCTGGGTACAGTTTCCAACCAGTAGCTTTCCAGGTTTTGCCCGAGTCGACGTGAATCCAGTTCTTGCTGAAAATATAACTCAACTTCTTATGTCTGGTTCTAGCACGAGTGATGAATTTTGGAAAATCCAGTCACGGTTAGATTCTCCTTCGTATTTTTCAATGATGAAGTCTGCAGAGAAAGATATGACTTTAAAATAACTTATTTTTTTCAAGGTACTAGTATGTTTTTGATATAAACGCTCTTCTCGGTGGTTCACCAAATTTCAAAAGTCTGTCCTTTGTTTATCACAAATTAATTTTAATCCTTCAAATATTTTTTACTTTTTAATGAAAGTATAAGTTGTTATCTGTCTTCTAGTTTACTCATGAAAAGTTCATTGAAAAATGATCGTTTATGCTTTAGGATTCCTTGAACTGCACAACTTCTCTGTACTTGTAAACTGGCTAAATTTAGAGAACTGTACATTCTACAGAATATCATAATGGATTTCCTCAGCCTAATAACGGCCCAGCGGTAATGTCGCTGAACACTTGAAGCCCGACCTGTATTGAAGTCCAGGCGAACGCCCTAGCTGCATGTGTTCGTTATCGTTGTTTTTTCCCCCGTGTGGCAACATGGACACGACGCAATTTCCCTTAGAGAGTACGGTACTCTTCTGTTATCGAAACCGATTTCAGAAATGTATGTATATGCGTACACACATACATACGTACATATATTACATGCATACATGAAGATATGCATCCAACGCCCTTCATGTCTGCTCGTTACTTTTTTCCTATGTGCAACATGGACACAAGGCAATTCTTTCCCTTAGAAATTCCGGTACTCTTCTATTATCGGAACCGAATTTAGAAATGTACTTATGCAAGTAAGTACGCATGTATGTGCGTATATGTGTATATGTACACACATACGTATGTACATATATACATGCGTATTTGAAGACGTACATCCATACACAAATGCAAATATACACACATTTCTGAATCCGGTCCCGATAATAGAACAGTACCGAAATTACTCCACGAAGGCATCTCTCTTTATAAGCAGATAACTCTTGCATGCTTTGAAATGATGAAATAAAACAAATTCACATAGCAATTAAAGTATCGCAATATCGAAAGATTTCGGATTTACACGGGAATGTTTATTTTGGTCGTCTCTCGGACTGCAACAACTAATCTTCGTCTACTTAAACTGCAAAGTATTCCACACAAAGCTTACTACAAGAAGTGGACAATACCTGTACTGCCTTCAATAAAGTCTTTCTGGCAGTTAATATCTTCGCCAGTATGAAGAAAATACGTGAATCTGAATAGAAGAATTTTCTTGCATATGAACTTGCTCTTGATGTTCTTTATTAAGTTAGATTAATATGTGTATTGTATTATTCAAAACTCAATGCATTGTTATTGTAAAAATCTGAGCATGTCGAAACTTTATTCTTGAAACGGTGGTACTGTAGTTTTATCACATCATCCGTCTGATAGTGTAATTCCAATTTTGTTCTTTTTCAGATGTTTTAATTCACACAAATCTTAAAACTGTTTAAAATTTTTATAGTGAAACCAAATGCTCCGTTAAATGCAACTTTTAGCAAAGTCACCGCTACTTCCCTAGTGTTTAACTGGAGTTCTCCTTCAAATATGCAATACCTTGCAGTTCCATCTGGAATTGAATATACAGTCGGTTACAGATTGGCTGCAGATCCAAAATCTTTTAGGGTACGTATGTACTTTAAAATATCTATCTGCTTAGATATATTAGTTGAGTTGTACAGAAATAATGCATGCACTCTAATTTCTTTAATGATATTTAAGAACTTTACACGTTGCGAATGCGTAACCTCTTGTAATTGATGGAAGTTTGCCATATGCTGCATAAAGCTTTAAATATGTTGAATACAGGCTTAAATTATCCACGAAGTATGAGAAACTATGGTAAATTTGTTACCATAATTTATTGGCTCACCAAAGGGTGAGCGGTAAAGTTGCTGAACACTGGTAATTCAGGTCAGGTTTCCAATTGCGACGAATGGGCTCGCTGCGTGGGCCTTCTCATAGGTTTTTCCCAATGTGTAAAGTGCATATTAGTCATTAAGAAATTTAATCTTTCTTTAGGGTGAATAGTCCCTTAGAAAGTCCTCCACCAAAACATCCGTCTTCTTAGGTAAGTAGCTCTCTAGTGCTTTGCCATGAACACAGAAAACAAACCAAACAGTTAAAATAATTTATCATTATCTGCATTAAGTTACTGTGTACGTGCTTATTTGTATATGTGTTACCGTGAAAGACCGAAATTGGAGAATGCCGACTTTCACCGGAGAATATCAACATTCACCAAATACGTCGGTTAAAAGACCGAATATTTCACTACATTCTTGTATATTCGACCCTCACCGGTGTATGTCGACAATCACAGATATGCTCTGGTGAAAGTCGAAAAGAGAGTCATAAAGTGCCATAATAGTTTAAAGTTTGTTGCAATAATAAGATTTGAGTCACATAATTAGTAAGTTTTTTATTACTGTTATTTTATTTTCTCCTTAGAACGTACTGTATAATTAAGTTTTTTAACTTCTATTATTTTCCTTTCTCATTTGAATGTATTGTGTGTTTAGTTTCTCATGTTCTAAGTTCTTATTTCAATTTGAAGTGCGTTTATTCGGCGACTGAATTAAGGAGAAGAAAATATTATTTGTTATATGTTTAACATTCACCATTAGTACATGGCGAATGTCGACATTGACCGGTGTAAGTCAGAAATAAGAGTATTTGGAAAATATTTGTTGACATTCACCGGTGAAAGTCGACATTCTCCAGATTTCGGTGTTTCACCGTAACATATGCATGATGATGTGCAAAAAAATTGGTTTGTTATTTTAACCCACTGACTTCCAATTTCTTTTCTCTCAATTTACGTTTATTTCTGGGTGTATAGATTGACAGACTCGAAATTGGAATATAAATAGAATATAGAAGGAATCTGTCATGAGGATCGACATTCAAGCAGCCCTCGCCGGAAAGTAAAATTCGCTTTGACAATTAATAGTTAGTAAATATATTCTAAAACCTTTAGAGAACACGACAGTACAGAGGAGTTGGAAATGATGTACATAATGACATACTGGCGTTTTGAAAATGTTGAAATCTTGACACTCGCATAAAGTTTACTTTTTCTCAGAAATAATACTCTTCAGCTCATTCATTTAACGACTACTACTCAGCAATACGTGAAAAAGCTTGAAATGTTTAGAAAAAATGTAAACAAGTAACCATTGTTGCCAACCTAATTAAAGTTACCAAATTTCAGCACTAAGACATTCCCAAACGGGGATCATGGCAGTTAATAGGTTAATACGCGATAAGACGCGTGACGCAATATGCCACAAATGTATCGGTTTACAAAGAAATGAGATGCATTCATGGACCTTATAAGAAATAGACTAACCCAAATGGGTTTTCTCCCGCGTCTGAGGCGTTCCCGGTTGTCACCTTGATCACATCCAGCAGTAGGGACGACTTCCAGAAATTTAACAGGAGTTGCCTATTGCAGCGCGTATAATTGTCAAGAAAAAGCTGGTTGTAGTGCCTCCTTTCACAAATTAGAATTTCTACGTATTTTTATTTTTGAAATTGAGATCGATTTTTAAAAATTTACCATATTTATCCAGCATAATTAACGTTCCAAATAAATTATAAAGCTATTGCATGCTTTCAGGGCTGGATATTTTTTTAGCTTTTCCTATGCTATAAGGAAATTTGTAACTACTTCTTTTCGAAAATAATATTTTAAATCTGAACTAATAGAAAATTTCAAACAAGCAATTTTCTCTTGCAATTTTATGCTTTTTATTGGTGTAAATAAGTAAAAAATTACTAAAATATTTAAAAACGAATTTTTGAAAGTTTTGTTTAAAATTCTAAATTGTGCTGCTTTTTTAAAATTATAGATGAGTATTATAGCACAATTTCTATAAAGGAATTTTATTTCAATTATATTTCATAATACATCATAGTGATAAACACTTCACTACTTAAAAATTTTTTATACATTTAATTCTAATATTAAACTTGTATTTAACCGTAATTAACTTTGCTTGAATTTTATAGTGATCATTTTTTAAAATTAATTTTTAGTTCTGCATAAGACTTTTTTTATTTAATGTTAATTTAATTTATTAACGCAAAGGGGTGCTACATATGTTTCTCGCACTGTGACAAAAACGACAGTATTTAGAGCCATCAAATTTTAAATGTAATCCTCCACCCGAACATGGGCATCTGGACGGCCGAATTTCGAATTTGTTTTAATCTATTTCATATTTTGTAAAACTTTAACGAATTTTTGATTAACAAACTCAACGAGTTCAGAGCGAGCACTGTACGGAAAATAACAGTTTTATCTCCAGTGCGGAAATTCTAAAGATATGCTGTTTTCAAATGTATGTGGTTTACGGGCGAAGAACATGATATTCAATAAATATAGGTAACACACAAAACGTTAAAAAAAGGTTCCTTTTGGGCGTAATATAAAATCTGAGTGCTTCTAGATTTTATTTTATCTTTTTTTCCCCCTTCATTACACTCAGAAAATTTTATGCTCCGAATTTTATAAATTACTAAAATAAATATTCCACTTTAATGTTAATAATTTAATGATCATATAATCAAATAAATGATGTTTTGTAATGTTATTATAGTTTTGAAAATCAAGTGCCTGAAAATGGTTATTAAATTACAAAAAATTATCAGATCTTGTTTAATTTTGCCTTATTTATTTCAAAGCATCACGTATTATCAATCTTATTTAATTTTACTTTATTTGTACGCAAAATTAAGTTCATAAAATTTGTGAGGCCCACCAGCGGCCGAGCGGTAAAGACGCTGAACACTGGTAGTTCGGTCCGAGGTTCGAATCCCGCGAACGGGCTGGCTGCATGGGCGTTTTCGTGGTTTTCCCCATGTGTAACGTGTATACGAGCCAGTTTCCGTTAGAAAGTCCTCCACGAAAGGCATCCCTCCCCTTAGGCAGATAGCCCTAGTGTGCTTTGCCATAATTAAATACACCACACACCACACCATAAAATTTGTGCTTAGAGTTTTTATCATTTTACCAGAGTAAAGATATTTGTACAAGAATTACGCGTGAAAAAAATGCGCGAAATGCAGTAAAAAGTGCTTTAATGAGATATATTAAAATCCTATTTAAAAAAACTGACTTTCATAATCTCATCACTATACAACATATCACATTTAATAATTAAAGAGTTGTGATACAAACGCCATAGGTTTCAGTGTTAAAGTAAACCAGATCGTCCCAACTCTTTCTTGCCGACATGTCGGTGACGCACGCCCCTCCCACTGGGTTAGTCTATCTCTTATAAGGCCCATGGAGACATTCTGATGACATTAGAGATCACGTGACTTATGCACAGCTAATGTAAACAAACAATTCAGATGACCTCAGAGATCGCATGACTTATGTACAGCTAATGTAAACAACAGTCATTCTTCCTCTTCATCTCTTGCGGAATGTATGTGATTAGAAATCGGTTTCTTTCATTTGTATTTGAGTGTCTGTTGCGTTTATCTCCTACCCTAAGTAATCAAGAATATTTGAGTTAAATACTTGCAGCCATGATTCCTCAATTTAAATCAAAATAGTTATTTCTTTTTTATAATTAATCTTTTTTAAGCAGTTTTACTTTCGAAGATGTCCAATGCTTGGAAGAATTCTGTGAATGCAAACTCATTTTACTAGCTCAAAAGTTCAATGATAAAACGATTTTTTAGTTTCAAAGAAATATCTTTACGGGCAAAACGCAGACTGTTTCATAATTCTAATAAAATTTAGCGAATACTGTTATCGAAAATGAATCTTTCTTAAACAAATATTCTTCCGAAAGAGGAAGGATCTCGCCAGTGATCGAGAGGTAAAGTCGCTTAATGCTGGCAATTTGGTCCGAGGGTCGAATCCCAAAGAACGGGACTCGTGAGTATGCACTGAATGGTGCATGCTTTTTTGTCTTTATTATCCGAAGTTTTCAAAATACACAACCTTTTGTTTGCCGCAATATAGCCCCCATGGGTTTTGTGCCAAAAACTCTAACTAACCAACCCAATAAACGGGCTGGCTGCATGAGTGATCTTGTGGTTTTCCCCGCGTGTAACGTGTATACAAGCCATTTCCCTTAAAGCGTCCACCAAGAAGGCATCCCTCTTTTAGGCAGACAGCCCTCGAGTTCTGCACAATAGTTATACAAACCAAATCAAACCTAGAACGGCTCTGAAAAGGCCCAATCCTTTCAAAATCTTAAAAGTGGGACATGACGTCTATTGATTCATAGGATATCCCAGATCAGAAATATCAATGTTATTGTAAATGCTCTCAATAATATTACACTTCAACGACATTTCTGTTCTTAATACAGAAAAACATTGGATTACTAATTTTAAAAGATTTTTAAAACTGCCAGAGTATAAGCCTCTAGACAAGGAAAAGTTTGCAATCCTTCCAGCAAGCTTACAACAAAACTTTCGCATTGTCCAAAAAGATATTTGATGAGCTAGAACAGCGGTTCTCAACTTTTTGACTAAAGCGAACCATCTAAACGAAAAAACTCGGTACCACCGCTGCATTTTACAATAATTATTTTTTAGTTTCTCATTAGAAATATTAAATGTATATTTTGCCATTTCCATAACCTGCTGGCATATTTGTA